TTAAGAGACATTAGTTATTGGACAGGACAGAACTTGTCCGTGTTTATATTAATTGGGTGTTGTTAAAGTTTTGAAATAATCCAAGTTACAATACCATTCAAAAGTTTGGGATCAGTAAGATTTTTTTCAAATGTTTTTGCTCTTCTAAACAAATAAATGCAAACTTTTTGTATTTAAAGTAATTGTTTTCTATTTTAATATATTTTAAAATGTAATGTATTCCTGTGATGGAAACCACTAGTGAAAATGCTTCTATTTTGCATTATTTTCAAGTTTAATGCAGAGTTTATTCAAATGAATTTGTGAGTATCAGAAATTCTCAGTAAAATTTCCTTCAGGGGATAAAAAAACATGCTTTCATCGCCATGCCAATGTTTAGACTATAGAAACACACTTTGCCATACAGGAAGTCATCATGTGCCTGACAGGAAGTAATCCATCAGCAGGTCAGAAGAGGAAGCATGTGTGGAGAGGGTCAGTAGCTTTATTGTGTTTTTCAACATAAATCTGGTTGATTTTTGTTTATTTCACTAATAAACTACAAGAGATATTGTGAATATAGCCATTTCTAATAGGCAAACAGTTAAAACCTAATAAAAAGTTACTACTTCATAAAAATATTAAGCATACATTTCGATCAGACATTATTTTTATATATTTTTTAAGGTAATTAAGTGTCATTATTCTATTAGAAGATCTAGTTCATGACATATAAACCTACCTATTTTTTTTAGTATGCTTTACATTGCTAAAAAAAGGTGTTTCACATCATAGCTGTTATATTGTTATATTATGTATTTTATCATAAGTGGTGGATTGTCCTTACCGTCTGTTTTATAAAATACTTGCCATTTCTAATGTGAATTAGTTCCTACTGTAAGAATGTAGGGTTAGAAGGGTCAATGACTGCAGACACGTCTTCCATCCATCCCTCCATCTCTCTATTGGTCGGTAAGTTTTTTTTGGAAACTGCATTTTGAGGGGCCTGATTTGAAATTTGCATATGCAAACAAGCCTAAAACAAAGATTCTGGCCTTGGCTTCAGGAGTAAATTTGGCTTGCAAATGGATCCTGTTTCTGAGGTAGCAAGAGAGAGTTAAACTTTAAAACCATACCCTGAGGGTAGAGAGTGGATAATGGGTGGATTAACTAAACTTGTTCACCTTCTCTCTCTCTCAATCCACAGATTTGAGTTAATTTTGCATTTCACCATTGGTGTGGCTTTTCCTTTGTGCAAAGGAATGCTCACAAACATGACCTCCTAAGCATGTGTTTTCATTAGCCTCATTCTCTTTTCAACATAAACCATGATTTGTGTCTTCATGCATTTCAGACACACGCTGCCTTTGTAAACAGCAATGTACCTTTGGACCGGTAGGTTTTAATGATGCATTATGCCCTGGAGGATCCCGGGTCAACTCCTGGCTCCTGCATAGATGAGTTTGCTCTCTGAACTCTGATGAGGATATTTGTGTTGTGGATGAGTTGTAGTTTGGTATATGTGTGTCTGACATAGCAGCGTGGGCAACCAGATCTGTTGTGAGGAATGTGTGTGTGTGACACTGACCCTGTTAAAATGACAGATTGGACAGCAGCTGCTTGAGAGTTCCCTCTTCTTTTTTTTTTTGAGGGGAACATTTCTGTGCTGAATCCTGTACTCGGAAAGACTTTGACGCACACACACACACACACACACACACCCACACCCACACACACCCACACACACACACTCGCACCTAGGTATTCAAGGCTGGCATAAAACACAGATCCAACTGACAGAGAACAAACACACACCATCATCATCTCCACAGTGTGTCATCACTGATATAGCTGTGTGGTTTAACTAAAAACACTGTTCAGTTCATGTCAACATTTCAACCCCGATTTCATCCATTTGACTGCATGTGCAATGTCGACAACATGTCCGTCTTATGAAGGATATATCAGAGAGCTGGAGTCAGACTGCCAGTAAAATCCTCCGAAACATTTTAGTCATTGTCCAAACCCTCACATTTGTCACTTCTCAAACCTTTCGGTGTGACTGTTTCATTCATGTCAAATATATGAATTATTATTTACTTATTTTAATTACCAAACATTTATACAACTGTTCAAAAATGTGGACCCAGTAAGATTTAAAACAAAATAAATCAATACTTTTATTCAGAGTTCTACATTGTTACAAAATAATTTTGAAAAGGTTTTCACTACTATAATAAGCAGGACAAACTGTGTTCAATATTGATGTGGGGTTTTTTTGAGCACCAAATATCATATTAAAATGATTTCTGACGGATCATGTGACACTGAAGACTGGAGTAATGGCTGCTGAAAATTCAGCTTTGCTATCACAGGAATAATTTATATTTTTAAATATGAAAGGGATAGTGGAGGTATGTAAGACAACATGAAGGCAAAGAACCACCCAATGCGGAGTGAGTCCAAATGCACAGCTAGCCGTGGATTATCCCGCTTACACCATGGCTATTTGCCAGCATTGACAACTTAAAAGCTGTTATTGATGTTTGCAGGTTAATATTTGATCGGAAGGGGAAAAATGGCGGTTATTTTCGTCGTTAGATCTAGCATTCTGTCTGCTTTGAATCGGACACAGAGATAAAGTAATTCGTAACATTACATTTATTTGAATGAATCATGTATTATAGCATTTATTTGAATTCATTATAGAGAGAGAGATGCATGTGTGAAATACCTTCGTCTATTGAGCGTCTCTCCCTACTAACAATTTGATTTGAACGATTTGATTTGATTTAACAATGAAGCTGAATTTAATTACTTCAAAACCAGCAATGTTACTGAGAAATATAATGTAGCGATTCAGTATTAAATCTTTCTGTGTGTGCGCAGTGCAAACTCCCGAGTGACGTATGCCTGTGTGTGCTCCAATGAAAACATTGCTTTAAGGTGATTAAAATGACCTGTGCATTAAACGGTTTTGTTGCACACCTTCCAGCCAATCAGTATTGAGTATCAGACAGACCATGGTATAAATTAAAATAGAAAACAGTGATTTTAAATTGCTATACTATTTTACAGTATTGCTGTTTTACTGTATTTGTGATACAAAAATAAAATGCCTTGACGAGTATAAAAGCTTCTTTAAAAAAAAAACAATCATTTGAAGTTTTGAACAGTTGTGTACGATTTTTAATAACCACAAACCAACATTTGGTCGCAAACAAGCTAGATGTATTTATTAACTATATTAACTGTTTTATTACTATTATGCATTTTTTTATTGCTTTTTTTTTATTGCTGTATTGTCCCATGTTTTTAACTGTTTTGCAAAAATGTTTGTCACAATTACAAGTCTTAATTTAAAATGGCATCTGAGGTGGACAAACAACATTGTCTGAAGGTCAAGCACTTTCATGTTGACTCTTTGTTGAATAAGAAAATGTATTCATGTTTTTTTTAGTTTCAAACACCATTTTGTTCTCTTTTCTTTTTAAAGATCCAGAATTCTTATGATTTTTTGTTGTTGTTATTTCAAACATCCGAATCAGCATATGTTCTTGCCATTTTGTTGTTCTTAAGATTTCTGTTATTGTTCTGATCAGCAATGCTTTCATGACATGATTGTCTTAAGTACTTTGGGCAAAACTAAAAGCGAAAGAATCTGGATTAAATGTGATGACAGTGATTCACTTGTGGAATTATGCGTGTGGTTTGTGGATTAATGATGGAGAAGCATTCTGTGTGCATTAGCTCATGGTCCAGTGCTTCAGTAATCTCTGTTTGTTTAGAAAACGTGTGAAGCTGAGAGGAGCTTAAGTGTTTCTGATGATACCTGACCCCCTCGATCCCTCTTTCTCTCTCTCTCTTTCCATCGTTCTCTTCCTCTCACTGTAGTATCAGTTTACATGTAATTTTCAGTTCTCTCATAATGAATGGCCGCTGTGGACTCCAGCTGCTGGAGTGTTTTGAGGGTGCTGCTGGGCTAGTGTGAGATCTCAGAGTCTCACCCACAAGCATTAGGTTTCTGATGTCCTAGTGGTTTGTGGGTAACGGGCAGTTGTCGATTTGGTGAAAAATATATGGATAAAGAAATTAAATATTTGATATATTGTAATATTATTTTAGTTATGTAAAGCAACTACATTCTTACATATTATGTGGCTTAAAGGGAAAGTTCACCCAAAAATGAAAATGATGTAAATTACTCACCATCAAGTATGAATTTCTTTCTTCTGCTGAACACAAAAGTCAATGGGGTCCATCAACTGTTTGGTTACCGACGTTCTTTTTATTTATTTTCTATGTGTTCAGCAGAAGATAGAAACTCATACATGTTTGGAACAACATGAGGGTGTGTAAATGACAGAATTTTCATTTTTAGGTGGACTATCCCTTTAAGTAGGCTAATATACACCACCATTCAAAATTTTTATTTTAAATTAAAATTTTATTCAGCAAAGGATGCATTAATTGCTAAAAAGTGACAATTATAATGTTACAACAAATTTCTACTTAAAATAAATGCTGTTATTTTGAATTTTCCTTTTCTGCACTGTTTTCAACATTGATAATAATAAGAAATATTTCTTGAGCAACAAATCAGCATTTTAGCATTTTAGAATAGCTTTTGTCAAGGACTTTATATTAAAATAGGAACGTTAATTTAAATTATAATATTTCACAATAATACTGTTTTTACTGTATTTTTGATAAAATAAATCCAACCTGGGTGAGCATAAGATTTTTTTTTTTAAACTTTAAAACAATCTTATCGACCCCAACCTTTAAATGGTAGTGTATATTATATTACATTATTTACACACAGTATAATTCTAGTAACCACAGTTGGCATTTTGTTTTAAAATGAAATTTGTACTTGTCATTGTGAAATCCATGAATGTAAAACAACAGAGCTGCTCCCTCTAGAGGATTAACCAGATTATACTCAAAGCCATTATTTTGGAAACTACTGTTAAACTATTCCCTGTTGTTATAGCTAATCGTCCTCTTTCTGTGTGCAGGTATCTGAATCATGTGCGCACAGCGTCCCCTCAGGATCAGGCTGGTGGTTATACATCAGGACTGGCCTGCCATCGTGCCATCCAGGACGCTTTCAGTGGCCTCTTCCCCTTGTGATTTTACCATGCCACCTGTTCATCAGTCTACCTAAAGACTCACTCACAAGCAAAGAGAAAGGCTGCGGGTGTTTGGATGCATGGGAAAGATTCCTGTGAAGGACTTATTGAATACGGCCCCTTCAGAAGGCCAGGTTCAGAATATTATGAAGTTTATGTTGACATAACCATAAACAAGCTTTAATAGGTGTACAGATATTTTTGTTGATCAGTTTTGTTATTTTTGTAATGCTGCTTTAGTTAAATAAACACACAAAAAATGATTTGTCAATGTTGGTTGCGTGATCGTCTCAAAGAAATGCAACAGCATTCACCCGACATGGAATGATAATTTATTTTAAAAAAATTAAAAGAACAAAAAACTAAATACAAACCATTTTGACAGGCAAATTAACACAAACACTGAGTTTATTCAGTCTGTCAAATCCTCACACTTCTGTTTCTTGGGACACGGCTCCTCTGAACTGTCTATGGAGGAAAAGAGACATTTTAGTACAGCAGAAATGACCCGCCACCACTACAGCATGGTGTGTATGTCTTTATTTCATGTTTTAATACTGCTGCCAAATGTCACTAGTGAGTTTGATAGTCTCTTACCTCTGTCTTGGGTGTGTGTGCGGTACAGGACCCCTCTCGGCAGGGTAAAACTCACACACATCATCTCCTTATTAGGTGCCACATTCCTCACCAGGTGTACAGAACACTGTCCTTGCAGGGAAATCTTTAAACTCGCCTCTGCCCGCTCCACTACATCCCTCTGAGCATCATCTTCCTTGGAGAACCCGTAGCAATGCACCCGAGGCAGGTTGTCATCCTGGCGGGACAGACTCTGGTCTGGCTCCGGACCCAGCAGACCTCTGAAAGCATCAAGGAACTCGAGAGCCAGTGCGGGGAGATTCATCACCACGTGAATCTTTTGTGATCCCTTCATTAGAGCAGGCAGGCGCTCCCGGACCGGCCCCCGGATGAAGTCCCGTCCATCCATGTTAAATGAGGTTATCTTTCGGTCGACCTTGTTGAGCTTAGCATTGTGCTGGAGCCAACGGAAGGAATCCGGGTTCAAGTCGTTGGCAAGGACCTCGCTGCCTCGACGGGCCGCTGGGATCGCGAACGGACCGACCCCGGCGAAAACGTCTACTACAGTATCGCCACGCTGAAGGAGGGCAACGATGCGCTCGTGTTCGGTGCTCAGTCGAGGGTTCCAGTACACTCGAGAGAAATCAAACTCGTAAAATACACCATTCTCCCGTACCTGAGAGGGAAAAAAAAAGGTAGATTAGTCAGATGTATCTTTAATAAATCATGTTTATGCTGAATCCATATATTAGGTGAACTCACCTTTGCCACCATGTTACTCTCGCCTGCCAAAACCTCCATTTGGAAGTTCCTGTAAGTGGAATCAATGGTGTTGGTCTTGTTGACCACGCAGGTAATGCCGGGGTTCTTATCTATGATTACTTGACCTGGAACAAAACACAAAGTCTGTTGGTGGCAAAACAGCTTGGCAAATGATTTCATGATTGCTCATTACTGTAGAATCAAATAGAATCATTATTGCAGATTGCAGAATCAAATCTCAGCCACAACAGTCTTGAAAAGACAAGACAGATTTAAACTTCAAGGGATAGTTCACCCAAAAATGAAAATTCCGTCATAATTTACTCACCTTCATGTCGCTCCAAAGCAGGATTATTATTAACTAAAACTAAAAATATAATTGAAATAAAGCTATATATTATTATATGAAAAAAACAATGAAAATTAGAAATTGTAGTGCCTTGGCAACTAACTGAAATAGTTTGAAGTTGAAGCACTAAAATTAACTGAAAATAACTCAATACTAAAAACAATTTTTTTAAAAAACTAACAAAAATGACAATGGCATCTAAGAAAATTACTAAAAATTAAACTAAAAATAAAAAATAAAAGCTAATTCAATATATATATATATATATATATATATATTCGAATGTTTGGACCAAACTAAATTGGACCACACAGATTATCATTGTATGGACAAAAACACTACAGGTTCAGAATGATAGTTCACCCAAAAATGAACATTCTGTCATTAATTAGTAATTACTCACCATCATGTTGTTCCAAACCCGTAAGACTTTCGTTCCTCTTCGGAACACAAATGAAGATCTTTTTGAAGAAATCTGAGAGCTTTCGGTCCCTCCATTGACAGCTATGCAACTGACACTTTGACGCTTCAAAAAGTTTATAAAGAGATTGTAAAACTAATCCATATGAATTGAGCAGTTTAGTCCAGATTTTCTGAAGAGACAATCGCTTCATATGATGAACAGATTAAATTTAGGCTTTTATTCATATATAAACATTCACACATCAGTTGTGGTAAACGAAAGCTCAAGTATGTTCGCTTGACGTGCAAGAACCAATGAGGTTCTTTCTCGTGTTATGCAGCACGTTTGAGCTCCCGCAAGAGGTTATGTTCTTGTGCATCAAGCAGGTTTGGTTGAGCTTCTGTTTATGTTCGCTGATCAATGTGTATATATGTGAATAAAAGCCTACATTCAATTTGTTCATCATATAAAGTGATTGATTCTCTTCAGAACATTTGGACTAAACTGCACAATTCATATGGATTAGTTTTACGATCTCCTTATGAACTTTTTGAAGTGTCAAAGTATCATTTGTATAGCTGTCTATGGAGAGACAGAAAGCTCTCAGACTTCATCAGAAAGATCTTCATTTGTGTTCAGAAGATGAACGAAAGTCGTACGGGTTTGGAACAACATGAAGGTGAGTAATTAATGACAGAATCTTTGGGTGAACTATCCCTTTAAGGTGATTTCTTGGTTCATTTATTATCTCTTCTTACCAATCAGTTTTTTGTAGGGGAGCTGGTGGTCTCTCAGGTTCATGTGGGCGATGTGGCCCACTCTGCTAAATCCTGACGTCACATCCTGTCCTTCAGGAAGTACAGCTCGCAGAATCTCTTCACTCTTAAGGTTCTCATAGGTGAGTTTCAGTTCGTATCTCTGGATCTCCTGAGGCACCCCATACGCTTTCAGAGCTTCTGCCTCCTCACTGCCGAACGAATCTGTAAATGTAATGCTGTTCGGATCCAATAGCATCAGCCGATGTTCTCCATTACTACAATCTGTATTACCATCTTCTTTGTGTTCATCCACGACCCGTTTGAGTCCTGGCCTCTGTAGTGCCACTTTCTTCAAACTCTTCACCAATTTGTTGAGAACGTTGGTTGGTATCCGTATGGCAGGAACGCTGACTGTCTGACTGAAAGCAGCCCGGTCCAGTTCTGTCATTCCTCGGACTGTGGGAGGGGGTTTGTAGAGCCCCAGATCAGTTGATGTCTGGGGTTGGTCAGGCATGGCTTTCTGATAATGGACCGCAGTGGAAAACTGGAGGGAAATTCTTGCAAACTGGTTTAAATTCTGAGGCAGAGAGATACAACTGTGATGTTTCTGCACAAGGAACAAAAGTCTGCCAGATCTGTTGGTCATGAGAGGGAGAGAGAAAGGTCATGCCTGTATAAAAGTTTAATGAAAAAAGAAAAGAAAAAATAATTTGCAACCTTTTCGTGAATGCATAGACTACAGCTAACAACAGTCTATATAAATCCCCGTTTCTAGCAGCAGACTGTTATCTACGCCTGATAATAAACTAAAAGATTATCTATTTAGCCACATAGCTTAAACCGTGTAATTCAACAAATAACCTTAAGTTTAATATGATAAACACAATAAACTGTAACAGCTCACCCTCTCCAGACAGCTGCCATGCGAACACGCTTTACATTGAGTGTACGTCATTACTGAGCGACCGAGACTTTGGCTGTGCTAGAGGTGATTGGTCTGTGACGTGCATTATAAAAAGACATGTGACTGGTCGTCAATAATCACGTGAACAGGGATGTTTACGTTTGCTTGTGTTTCTGTGAAGCCGGTGGTGTGAGAGCTGGGCACATGTACTGACGGACCCAGCGGTGTCTAAAAGCGAATGGCCGGCTTTCGGTCAGTGCAGAAGAGTAAAGAGACACTACACGGTGGGACATGGGGAAAAGCGGCGCAAACTACAGCGCGCAGACGCGGAGCGAGTATGAGCCCATCGGAGAGGAGTGCAGACCGCTTTTAATCCAGGTAACGTTAAACCACAGCCAGTCATTGCTCAGTTACATAAATAATAAAAATAAGAAGAACCAGAACAAGAAGAACGAAAGGGATGTATTTTCTGTCCCTCATGAACATGTGTAAATAATGACTAAGAATTACAATGTTTATATAATGTGTGTTTAATGTATACGTTTACTGTTTTATGATATGCTTATTTAAACTAGGAAATATAAACAATTTGTGTATTATCCTTGTTTATGTATGGAAGCCATTTTCCACCACACAACAATTATTATATAAGAGGTGGGAAATATTAGATTCTAAGTGAAATTATGGGACAAATCACAGCCATAACATAACATCTCTACTATTTATGGCATTGTGGCTTATCTCAAAATGTCACCTTTTCATATCATAGTTATGATATAGAATCTCACATTTCCCACATTTTATGTACATTTTTGACTTTTTATCCCATGTTTTTCATAATTGACCTTTTGTCTCGTAATTGTGACATCATTAATTGTGACATAATCATGTGACATATTGTGTATTTATTATTTGATTTTTAGACTTTAGAGGACATAATAATATATTAAAACAGAATTGAGGTTGTCCCCATGTTGTGTCAACCCTGTTACCATCATTTATTCTTTTTATTATTAAAATGATGTAAAAGTTCTTAGTATTAGCTGCTTCCCAAAATTTTAAACTGCACATTAAGATGACAATTTTTTTTTAGCACTTAAAGCATTCTTTGTCTGATAGAATGTTTAAAATTAAGACTCTTTTTGATGGGTCAATATTAATTTAGATAATAATAAGCTTCATTTTTTTAGCACAGTATAAAATGTACAAAGTGCTTCCAAATCCAGTCTAAACTTCACATCCACAATGCTGTACTAGTTTTATAAAGCTGTGCTTGAAATGGATAGAGTATGTGTATTTCACATTTTAGTCATTTTCACATCACATGCTGATCTTATGCAATTTTATTGTCTTTGCTTGCAAAGATTTCGCTTCCCTTTGTGCTTTCAGTAATGCAGTGTGTAAGCAGACAATAATGACATTCATTATGCAATGCATGCTTTGTCTCTTGCCTAAAGTCTAGGATTAAATTAGCCTCAGTTTATTCCAGTGTGAGCTTCATGTTTAATTTCTGATGCATTTTTGTCATGTTTAATGTCTGATGCATTTTTCTTCCTCACAGGATGTTCAGGTTAGAGGTGCATCCTTCATGTCTTCTGCCTTTAATCTGATGAATGCTATCATGGGTAGTGGCATCCTGGGTCTCTCGTATGCCATGGCCAATACGGGCATTATAGGATTCAGGTACACGCAACGCACACAGTGTTCACAGTTCAGCTTTGTTGACAACATTTGTGGTATAATGTTGATTACCACAGAAAATGTGATGCATGCATCCCTTTTTTAAGCAAAAAGTGCAGTTGCAGTAAGGCACGTACAATGAACAATCCTTTGAGCTTGAAGATCAGGTGTTTTTTCAACTCTGCATGTGTTCTTCACAGTATTCTGTTGCTCGTGGTCTCCAGTTTGGCTGTTTATTCTATCCATCTCCTGCTGCTCCTCTGTGACAAGACAGGTAATATCAACTCTCACTTTTGACCTCTTCTTTACCCTACTCACTCCTGTTTACCTTACATAATCTGTGACTATAACTCCTCACAAGCTGTACATCAGATCAAAAATCTGAAATGGTCTTTCACGATTGTACATTTTAACCGATCACTATTGCATATGTTTATGTATGTTAGGCATCAACTCTTATGAAGCGCTTGGAGAGAAAGCCTTCAACAGACCTGGCAAGGTTGGTTAATATCACAGAACTAATACCTTGCTCTATTTATTTGATTTTGTCTTTGTCTGAAGATTGCCTGCTTTTAATTTGGAGTAATGCACTACAATGTTTCATTTTGTTATATGAATAAATAACTCATCATTGTCATTATCCAAGTGCTCATCATAATTGAATTCACCATAGATGTGAAATATGCCTTGTTACTCCTTTAAAACAAGTTTTTCTTATGTTTTGTGCAGATTCTGGTGGCCTGTACTATTCTCATTCAGAACATTGGCGGTGAGCTTTTCACTTTCACTTTTTATTTAGACGGTTAAATTATATTACTTAATATAGTTCATATAAATAAAATCATATTACTAAATGTTAACCTGGTACCCCAGAGGCAGAGAGTCTGCTGTCTCTTTCTCTTTTCCTCTCTCTCTCAGTTTGAACACGTTTTATTGGGAGGATATGACTTTTGGCCGGCTATGTTTCCGACTTTTGGAGGATATGTATTGCCTAAGAAGTTAGCATAGCAGGTTCACCTCTGAACAACAGCTGTACTAAAGAATGGTGTAAAGTGAATATAGAAAATAAAACTCTGTTTCTTCTCTTTCTTTCTGTCTTTCACTCCGCACTGCTCACTACTCACTGTGAACTGTAGTGAGTATTCTGTGTGTTATGTGGTGTTTAGTAGCAGTAAAACAGACTGTCTTATTAATCTACCATAATGACTTAACAGTCATTTCATCTCACTTTTACATTGTCTTTAGAATGGCAGCAAGTGTCTGATTGTGTGAGAACAAATGTTTGGCTGCAGTCAGGTTTAATCTGTGTATATCACCATGTATCTCTGTGTGTATATATGACCATGTGATATGAATTTGTGGCTGTTAGTGTTAGTTCAGAGTATGTTGACCTCAGCACTGTGCTGGGTTTTACAAAGGCTGTGTCTGTCTGTGGAATGGTTTGGCTTTTCTGAGTGGATTTGTGCGCGTGCGTGAGATTGCATTATGAGCTGTTATAGTGCATGTAGGAGGTGTTGTATAGCATGTATTTATAATGTGCTGTCCTTCTCTTTCTTTAGCCATGTCCAGCTACTTGTTCATCTTGAAGTCTGAAATGCCTGCAGCCATCACCGGCTTCATGAGCACAGAGAGTTCTGGGTAAATAAATATATGCTGGCCTTACCACACCCTCACACCCCTTCTAATAATGTGCAATGCAAGTTTCCAGTGTGAATACATTTTTTTTTCTGTTCTCACTGAAATTGAAATGCTTATTGAAGAAACTATATTAGCTAATCAGATCATACTAAATGTTTAAAATGAGCATAGCAAAAAGTAGAAACCAAACAACCAACAAAATGTCTTGTTTACAGTGTCCTTTTCAGTTCAGTTTCAGTTTAAACTACTATTAATATTAAAATGTTAAGAAGCACCCCAAACTTTTGAATGGTATATGGTTTATCAGAACAAATATGATTTACATCTGAATTCAGTGTGTTAGAATTCATACTAAAACAGAATCTGGCTGAATCCACAGAAAAATCCACAGGGAGAGACAAAATAGAAACACCATTCAGGAAGAGAGATAGAAAGGGACACTTTCACACAGGATCATTCACTTACTGGCAGATAAACACTCTTTCTCTCGATCCTCTGCCTTTAAGCGAGTTTCCAAAAGAGAAAGTTTTCCTGAGTAAGAATGTAACGGTCATTATTTTATTAGCCGCTGTTCTGAGCTGTGGTTTGACTGTGCCCCGTCCCCACACAGCTGGTTTGCATTACAGGTCCGTTCACGTAAATCTTGCACATGTGTTCTGCCCAATGAGAGTCGTGCCTGCCCAAGATTCCCTTCGCCAGCACAATTACTGTGACCAGACCCAGACACACACAAACATTACCACTCTCTCTCTGGGAGGAGCAAAAATCACAACCCGGCCACAGTATACACACTTGAAACTGTAGTCATTTACTGTAAAATAACATTATTCTTTCAGTGGAGTAATTTATCTTCATTTTTGCAAGCGGATCAGCTGGGCTGTCTAGTACCTCCCTGTTTTTAAAAGAGAACCACTGGAGATCTCTCATAAACACCAACCTGTTAAAGATTCAGTCTCTCAGTTCTCAATCATATATTTTTTTGTTTTAAAGTACTCCTTTTAATATTGGCAATGCATCAATACACATACTTTTACTTTTTTTTTCTCCATATTTCTGTGGAAACCAGGATTATTAATCTTATCTATCAAATTAATACTTGTATTTAGTAAGGATGTATTAAATTGATCAAGTGACAAAAGATGTTAGGAAAATTTCTATTTCAAATAAATGCTGTTCTATTGAACTTGTAAAAATATTAAGCAGCACAGCTGTTTTAACTGTGACAATAACAATAAGAGTAGGAATAGTAAGAGGAAATGTTTCTTGTGCAGCAAATATTAGAATTATATCCAATATTACTGTTTTATTCTATTTTTGTTTAAATAAATGAGCATACGAGACTTCTTAATAAAATGAGACAAATATTCCCGAGACCAAAATCTTTAAATGTGTGTGCATCATCTTCACTTGGTGTCATTTTGTCATGCATTTCTTTTCTGTCCTCCATAGAAAGTGGTTTGAGAATGGCGTTATCCTACTGATTTTAGTCACTGTAATTGTAGTGTTGCCATTGGCTCTACTTCCAAAGATTGGTGAGTATCATCAGGGTTTGTTTTTCTCAATATTGTTTGTGTGTGATAGAATGCATATCTTTGGTTTCTGTCTTCTCTTCAGGTTTCCTGGGATACACCAGCAGTCTTGCATTCATCTTCATGTTGTTCTTTACCGTGGTGGTGAGTTGAGTCACTCTATTTAACTGTCTGTCTCTCTATCTTTTTTCATGTTGATGTTTTCATCTCTCTCACAGGTGGTAGTGAAAAAATGGTCCATTCCCTGTCCACTACCATTGAACTCCACTATGAGCCTGGTAAAGACCACACACACATGCCCTTGCCTAATACACCCCAAATTAATACCCAAAACACAACTTGGGCAGCTGCAGAATAATAGACTTCAGTGTGACCCATCTAAAACCTTAATTTTCATTACAACAGACAGGCTAAAGTATGGAAACCCATTTCTGCCACACAATGTTGAAATTATGATACAAGTCATACTAAATATTTCTGAGATAAAAAAGAATGTTGACATAAAAGTTGAAATTTACATACTTTAACTTATCACATTTTGACATAAGACATATACTAAGTCATAATTATTAGATTAAAAGGCCATGACTATGACAAGTTAAAATTATGAAAGTCATAATTTGGACTTTCTCATAATTTGGACTTTTTAAACGTATAATTGAGATTTATCACAATTTTGACTTTCATCATAAATATGTCTTGGTGTGCCACGATTTCGAGTTATGTCGTATACAAATTTACCAAAGCATGCTTTTTTTTCTTATGTAGCGGATATGGGCTTCCTTAAAGGGTTAGTTCACACCAAAATGAAAATTCTATCAGTAATTACTCACCCTCATGTTGTTCCAAGACTTTCGTTCATCTTCGGAACACAAATTAAGATATTTTTGATTAAATCTGAGAGCTGGATCACTCCTCCATAGGCTTCTAAGGGATCGAAACTTACCGGCCCAGAAAGGTTAAATACATCGTGAAAAATAGTCCAAGTGACTACAGTGGCTCTATCTTAAGTTTATCAAGCGACGAGAATACTTTGTGCACAAAAAAACAAACAAAAATAACGACTTTATTCAACACTTCATTTCCTTCTCTGTGGGCCTCGAGATTTCACGTAGTGTAACTGACCAGCGCTTCTGGGTTGTACGTGTATCCCTAATTGTTTTAATAAGGGATGTGACCTTTGACCCTCTTGAGCCAGAGGTCAAACCTTTACTTCCTGATATTCAGCTACAGATACTGTAATATAAATATCAGAAAGTAGTTTTTCATTCTGTTCCCGTCCTGATTTCATTCTAATCTTCAAGTTCACATTTTGTTTTTCTATCCGTAGAGCTTAAATACCTCCGAGTGCACCCCACAACTGTTTGCGATCTCTAGTAAGGTGAGTGTGTGTGTTTTCCTGAGAAAGGAGAGCTATGTTTTGATTTAAAGGCCGCCTTCCAGGACTATTAGAAACCCAAATATTAGTTGTAATATTATAGCATAACCGCACACACATCAGGAGGGTGAGAAATGACTGTGTGTGTGCGCATTGCAGAGTGCTTATGCTGTCCCAACAATGGCTTTCTCCTTCCTGTGCCATACGGCGGTTTTACCCATTTACTGCGAGTTACACAGGTCAGTTCACTCAGTTCTTTCTGAGCATCTGCCACATATATAGTCTGTTGTTGCCTTATGGTGTGAATATGTGTGTTTTTCAGACCCACAAAACGGAGAATGCAGAATGTGACAAATGTCAGCATCTCTCTTAGTTTCGTGGTGTATCTGATCTCTGCTCTTTTTGGATACCTCACCTTCTATAGTAAGAACATTGCTCAAGCTGCACAACAAGATCCTCAGTGTTTGTTTTGTGTGTTAATCCTGCTCTTGGAGATCGACCTTCATGCAGAGTTTAGCTTCATCTCTCTACTGTATTGCACAATGCAACGCTTGAAGTGACATTTTTAGTGTCACAAAAGAGCTGGAAGTAATGTCAGACCCTGACCATTATTTATTATTTATCCAACCAATGTGAAATTACAATTTTTAATTTGGAGATGATAACTAGACTTACTGAATGCAGTGTCTTAAAATAAAATAAATTTAAATGACCAAAAATCTCAAATTCAACTGTTGCAATATGAGCAAACCATACACTGGTTTAAGTTTAACAAACCTAAACTACACTACACATAATTTTGAATCAGTCAAGTGTCATTTGCTCATGAATCAGACTGGTTGTACTGTATGTTTTTTGATTCACTAAAAAGAACAGGTTCGTAAGAGTTATTTGTACATTAATAGTACTTCACTGTGTGTGTTTGCTTTTGTGTGCATACAGTTAAGACAACTCGATAGAATGATTTCCTTGCCATTATTTTGCAGTAAACCATCTTTCTTTTTATTTCACATTCAATTCAGACTGCAAATGCACATTAACAACTGGAGTAAACATGATCCCCTTGGCAGTGAGGCCGAAGATTCAGACACACTACTACTGAAACACTAATATTTGAAAAGTTGTTTTACGGTTTCACAAAGTATCTTTAAAAATTTGATGAGAGCCAGTGTATACTAATTAGTATTCTAATATTCCAATATGAATAAAGCCCATGATTAGCTGCATTAGGTGTGTTTGGTTAGTGTTTTTGTCTCTAGGTAGACCCCTGGATTATAATATTTACTGTTTCAGTTCAGTACTCTTTGGATTAATCTGTTAATGACGAAGATAAATTGATTAATCTGATCTAACATTCTTTATCCGCAGCACATGTGGAATCAGAGCTGTTGCTAGGATACGACACCTATCTACCTCGTGATGTTTTGGTGATGTCAGTGCGTCTCGCGATTCTATTGGCCGTTCTTCTCACTGTGCCGCTCATTCACTTCCCAGTAAGTCAAACACCAGACTGTGAACTATTTAAAGAAGAAATTCAGAAAACATAACCTCCCTTTCTTTCTCTCAGGCACGTAAAGCGTTGTTGATGTTATGCAAGAGAGAGAGTGAGTTCTCCTGGCGCTCTCATTCACTGTCCTGTATTTTCATCCTCACTCTTGTGCTGCTGCTTGCTATTTTCGTCCCTGACATCAGGAATGTCTTTGGTGTGGTCGGTGAGTGTTTGTCCATACGCGCTCTGTATGTGCTTGACTGTTAAATTCACTGCTCAACAGTTAAACGGGTATGTTTATTAGGGCTGGGTATTGACACAGATTTCACAATTCGATTCGATTTCGATTCACAAGCTTGCAATTCGATTCCGATTCGGTTCAATATTGATTATTTTGGATATTAGGTACAATACATGGCAAATGTTCACAAGGAAAACAAATCTCTTAACTAATGCTGTAAACTATGGGAGTCAGTTGTAGCCTACTAGGCTTCATTAGCCTACTATAATATTGAAGGTAAAAATTAACTGATTTGTAGCTATACAAACACTTAAATTACACTTTTATTTATTTTTATAATAATAACGTTATATGAAATATAAACATTTAAATGGTGGCTGTCATAAAAACTTGCCAGATTTATTCAAACATGCATTAAATATCGAAGAACATTAAAAATGATAACGAATATGTAATATGGTGCATATATTTAGCAAAATGCTCCTCTTTAGAGTTAATTTTTCTAGCTGACTAACGAGTTTATGGTCACATATGGTTTTACTTTACAAGTTGTTTTACTGACATCTTTCCACGGTTGAAACACTGATTGAGCGATTCCATGTGACATGATACGGATTTCGATAAGTTGTACTCTATCTTTTAACACACTTTCAGATGTTCATTCATGTTTATTTCGCGCTGTAACTGGCATTATTAAGGCAGAACAGAGATCATGTGCGCTCCTATGGAAGCAAATAAGAGACATAACTATTTGAAATTTAACAGCAACTGAATACTTAGTTTTGAAATATTTTATTTTGAAAAACATTTATCTGAATTTATTTCCTCTGAATTCACCCCTTTGAAATTATTTTACTTTGGAAACCATGTATCTGAATTTATTTGTTTATTTGTTTTGTTTAAAAACCTGAATATCGATTTTAATATTTTTCAATGCTCAAAAATTCAGATACAAAAAAAAAATCAACTTACAGAATTTCAGATAAAATAGATTCAGGTTGATCAAATTCAACTGCTTAAATTCAGATCTCAAATTCAACTGCTCAAATTCAGATCTCAAATTCGACTGCTCAAATTCAGATCGAAAAATTCAAGTTAAATATTCACATGGTAACATCCGGGCAACCCAGGATAGGCCACGCCCACACCGGGGGGAAAGCAATCCAACCGTCTCTATTGATTTGCATTGCGAGAGGCTGCCTCCTTGTCATTTATGACACAAAAAACAAAACAATGTCTAAAAGCTGTTGTGAGACAAGGTGTACAGCAAACAAGCAAAATAACCCAGAAATTATTTTTTATACGCTGTCGACCCCAAAAACGGTTTGTTTTTCAGGACATAAAAGTGGATAAATTGAGAAAGAGCGCAACTATTTCTCGAACTACTCTGAGAGAACTACGCCCAGCCTCCCCATATAGCACTGGAACGCGACATGATATTGTAAAAAAAAAAAAAAAATCATAATTTTAACCATGTCGATTGCTTATTTCACCAGCCTATGTGAACCTGAGAAGAGGAGATATATTAAATGTACCCATTCTTCCTGCTGATGCTTCACGTCTTATTGCCTGAAGCCTATCTACTTTTGTCTCCTTAAAGGCTGGCTTTACCGGTTCGGAAGCTTATAAAACTGTATTTCTGTTGTGGGTTTTTTTAGCTTATTTGCTGAACACCTTGTCACACAGCAGCTTTTATGCATTTTTCTGTCTTTTGTTATATGTTATTATAAGGAGGCAGCCTCTCGCAATGCAAAGTCAATGGAGACGGTTGGATTGTTTCGCCCCGCTTTGGGCGTGGCTTAAATACGCTCTGTCTCCACACAGGCTCAGCTGTTTTTCCTATCCTGGGTTGCCCGGATGTTACCATGTGAATATTTAACTTGAATTTTTCGATCTGAATTTGAGCAGTCGAATTTGAGATCTGAATTTGAGCAGTCGAATTTGATCAACCTGAATCTATTTTATCTGAAATTCTGTAAGTTGATTTTTTTAAATCTGAATTTATGAGCATTGAAAAAAATTAAAATCGAAATTCAAGTTTTTAAACAAAACAAAGAAATTCAGATACATGGTTTCCAAAGTAAAATAATTTCAATGGGGTGAATTCAGAGCAAATAAATTCAGATAAAGGTTTTTCAAAATAAAATATTTCAAAACTAAGTATTCAGTGGCTGTTAAATTTCAAATAGTTATGTCTCTTATTTGCTTCCATAGCTCCGCGCTGCTGCTTCTCTTGAGCTGAGCTGAGCCAGAGCGATCTCACGCTACAGCACCAAAACGATAAATTTATGTTTTTGAATTTCGTAAGAAAATGGACGTAATTTGAGACTTTTAGTATCAATAGTAACAAACCACAAAGATTATTGCGATTTATTGGATGGGATGCGCGCTACAATGTTCCATTGATTCATTCATCAAATGAAAACAGGATGACTAATCGATTCTTGAGATTTGAGAATCGATATCGGTTCGTAAAAATGAGAATCGACCAATATCGAGAAATCGATATTTTTTACCCAGCCCTAATGTTTATTGTTTGCGTGTGTGTCTGCATACCTTTTCATGTGTGATTCCAGGCTCTACGACCTCCACATGTTTGCTGTTTGTGTATCCGGGAATGTTTTATTTGAGAATCAGCTCTGAGCCAATCAGATCTCTCAATTCAGCAGGGGTATATAAAGTCTTGCATACATTCAGTACTACATGATGCATCATGCATGAGTTGCTTTGCACTAGACTGTTAGTTCTGAGGGAATTTTACCCATTTGTATTACTCTACTGTTCAAAAGTTTGGAGTTGGTAAGATTTTCTTATGCTTACCATGGCTGCATTTATTTGATCAAAAATATATACTATTACTACAATTTTAAATAACTGCTCTTTGTTTTAATCTTTTTATATGTCTGTGCCATTGTTTTGTCTCAAGATGCAGACCATTAATGCTATTTTCTTAGGCATGTTTATAAAAGCCACCTAAATGCCCTAAAAGGCCTAATCCTGGCTTAATCTAAGTCCTGTCTGTGAAACCAGACCTTAATTTTTTTGTGAAAACAATGATTTTTCAGGATTCGTTCATGAATAGAAAGTTCAAAAGAACAGCATTTATTTGGAATGGAAATCTTTTGTAACATTATAAAAAAAACGAAATGACCCCAAACTTTTGAGCGGTAGTGTAAATTATGTCTGACTTTACATGTTTTTGTAACGTAAAGTTTATTTTTTTTACCCTTGAAATGTTGATTATTATGTTGCTTTCTTTAGTTTTCTTTCCATAAGCATCTTTTCCACCTTTCCTCTTTTCTAGGCAGTGTTTCTGTTGGTCATTGGCCTGGTTGTGGGAGTGCTGAGCCTGTGTGTCATCATTGTCTCCTGGGTTCAAGGTCCTTGACCTTTAACTTGATCATTGTGGGACACGCTGCATTGCATGAGTCGTGAGCTCAACACCTCCTGCCTTGAAGAAGAACCTTATTTTACAGGTTATACACCAGTCAGACTCTGTTTACTGGACCAAATGCTGCTTCAAGAAGGGAATCCTTAAGAGATGAGCCAACTGTGCTCTTATGATACTCCTAATATTCTCATAATCCTGTAATGTCACTTGAATACTGAACAGAGGCACAATCAAACCCAATATCCAGCAAAGCAATGAAATGCATAGTAATCAATTCTGAATGTCTGAACGACTCCCGAGTTTGACAATCTATGAATCAGACGGTTGCCCGTGATCTGTGAAAAGACAGTTTGAAACCAATGAATGAAGCAGCTGCACATTTTCCAATAACTAAATATCTGCTTAAATCTAATATCCACATTCAATGAATTGGAAAATTGTTCTGATCGTGCCTGTCTGGAAAGAAAAAAAAACTGATTTATTCAGTCTTTATATGTATTCGATTTTTGAAGATTTTTCAGACCTGTCAGGGTATTTCTTCACCAACGCACTATCCAAAGATTTTTTGAGATGATTGAAGTTTAGAAAGTTTTTTTTTTTGTTGCCATTTTAAATAAATAGAACAAATAATAAATTGAAATATATTTTTTGTTTGTTTTACCATTGAAACCCATATGTCCAAAAGGACAATTTTGATGTATTTTTATGTGGAATTAAATAAATAAAGGGAAATACAAATTAAAACTTGTTTCTCACTGGCTTTTGTACTGTGGCATCTGGAATGAAGTCTGTGATCCATGTTTAGTCTAAGAGATCCAAGCATTACTGTGTGTTTTTGCTGGTTTGCATGTGAGAAAGATTGATAGACAGGCTGATTTTTCTTCATTGATTTGGACAGAGGGTTCTCTGTATGTCAGATAATGGAAAACAAATGCTCTGTGTGTGTGTGTAGTCTGTGGCCTTTGCTCTCTCCTGCTGTTTCTAATATGCTGCATTAGCTTGAGAGACCGCCCAAAGTAAGCCTGTCTGTAACACATTCACACACATGCAATCTCGCATAGGCTTACATCAAAAAAAATATGGTAGTGGTGTTATTCCTGAGGTGTGTGAATATAGCATTGTGCAGCTCAGGATGACAGTAAGATTTCAGCTGCAGGTAAGAGATGTGGTCAGTGATAAGAGAACTGCTTTGTGTGACATGGTTACTTGAGTGACATCACCAAAAACGCATGATGAAACCATGGTGTAAGATATAATGGAGATGAGGTGTTTTATGGTTTGCAGAGGATTGGTGTTCAGGTGAATCTAAAAAAAAACACCACATTTAACAAAAGAAGAATATTTGGCAAAAAAGTATTTTCTTTTTGTTTTATTGCAATATTTTGTGTGTGTTTCAGCATATAGACAGTTTAGCTTTTGTTTCTTTTTATAATTCCTTTTATTCTCAATGGTGATTGCAATTAGATTCTCATTGCAGTCATTTTTTAACACTACAGCAAAAATGCAGTTAAAACAACATTTCATGCTAACTTTCAAAGAGTGGAAAATGAGATCCACAGCTCTTGGATATCAGGCAGGAGTTATGTCTCTTTTCAGCCTGAATTTAGTCCTGCAGATTGCTTTACCTTTAGACCGCAATCCATATTCACACACCAGCAGAAACATCTGCTGACTGTTAACCGCTGCCTACAGAAGGTGATTTTGCTGTATGACTGTCTGATTTCTTTTCATGCCGATTGGCCCTTTCATGCTGACATCTGCTTTTTCCCTGGACTTTTTCTGCATCTCTGTTCTTCTCCTTCCTCCTGAATTGATTTTCATGCTCTATCAGTAACCGTGCTCCCTGTGTCAGGCATTCAGTAAATCATTCTGAAGACTCTGTTAGGAAGAAACAAACACACCCAATCACACACTCCCTTACCTCTATTGTGACTCTTATGTGTTCTCTAAGATTCTCCTCCTCTTTTTCTGCTCTCTCTGCCTTCTAAAACCTCTAATTCTGCTTCTGACGCCTGGTCTGAGCTGAGACCATATCACATCTGGAGTTGATTTTACACACACACACACACTGCCCTGTGTCACACACTTTCTCCTCTGCTTTAAAACACTTCTGTTCTGTCCTCTCTGCTCTCTCTCCCTGTCACTCTTTTTTTAACTTGTCTCCCTGAACACTCACTCCATCATTCACTCTCTCTTTCTTTCTCTGATTTTTGTTTTTCTACTTTTACGCCGCAGCTGTTGCCATTCCCAAACACTGAGTAATAATACCAGCCAGTAAACGCACACTCACACACACTTTGGCCTTTCACCCATAAATACCTCATCCACATCTCTACGAGTCGCACGGCCTAACATGGTGTAGCAACAGTTCAATAAATGTAAGTGAAACAGTGTGTGTGTAAATGACAGATTTGGGAACTATTTCAAATTGCTATGTGTGAGATTGTACTGTATATGACGTTGAATGGGATTCGGAGGCTTGTTTGTGCGCTGTTTGTACATGTGTACAGTACATGTGTATATGTGTTTTTGGTATGGTTTATGTCAATAACAGCTTCAGTGAACAAGGTATGCGTGAACTGCGGCTTGTTGTGGGATGCAGTCACATCTATCAATTATTTTTTGTTGTTAAGTCTGTCCTCTAAACTAAAATTTCATCATGATGTATTTTTGCTATAGCTCAAAACAATAAAATCACTCTAACATACAAGAGACTATTTGTAGGCCTACATAAATCAAGACTGTTTTTTTTGTCAGAACAAGGATGGGCAAGTTGTTTGTCTTTTAAATGTTTATTATGCAATTTGTACTTTTAATGTCACAGTTTCATGAATTGTTTTTTGTTGCTTAAAAGACTCTATACACACAAAAATATATTTTCATGATTTGTTATCACAACATTTTTCATGATGTTATTTCAGATAATTCATGTGGGTGAGATAACATAACATTTTGAGTTTCTGTTAATTAAACCAATGTCCTTCATTGTATTAACTCTATTTTATTTTTTTAATTTCAATGAACTCAAAATATTAAGGCAACCAGGTTACTTACTTTTTTCAAGTTAAACCAACAAATATTTTTCTACAGTGTATAAGCTTTTTTGTAATAGCAAATTCAAGTGTGACAATTTACCCCAGCTTATTTTAGTAACCAAGACTTTAAGGTATGTGCGTGCGTACAATGAAATTAAATATAAATAGCCTATAAAACACCAGAGGCACACATATGTCCTAAAACACACATTTACTCTGTTCTGAACACATAAGCTCAGGATGAACTTCCTGATTTCAGTAAAATCTCTATGACCAGGGCTGCGTTTCTAAGCCTAAGTTGATCGTAGAACAATTGCCACCTATAGTCTCCAGTCTCTACGATCAATTAAGGCTTACGATGCTTTTGAGAAACACAGCCCAGAACAGTTCTGCTCTTCACAATGGCCTGAGTTTAAACTCTCCCACACTGCGCTCTGGGTGAAAAGGGCAGTTCTTTAATGAAGACTCAGGAGGGGGCTAAACCATGAAGACCATTAAAGGTGATTTGGTGCTGAATACCTGTTTTAATACTGGTTCATTCCACACAAAACTCTAGAGAGAGAGATGCTGAGATGTAAGGGCATGACAGCTGGACCAACAAAGTCAGAGGACTTAACATATGGGTAACTATATATATGAAGCTGTCCATAAAGAAACCGATTTTTTTTTTGTGAAATACAGGTAGGCCTGATGGTTGACTACTTGAGTATGAGTGTCTCCTGCTGGATATTTCCGGTGCTACACCAGAATCACCAGAGTGGATCCACCAGACCTCAGCTTCCCATTGACCACTCCACAGACGGTCTTCTTCACTTCTCTGTTCTCAGACAGCGGACACTGGACAGAGCGGAGAGTGTTTGGAGTCTTCCTTTTGAATTTACACCAGCTGGAAAAGAGATTTATAGCCTACATAAAAGGATAGTTCACCCAAAAAGGAAAAATTTTGTCATCATTTAAGAATGTTGGTAACCAGACAGTAGACGGGTCCCCATTGACTTCCACAGTATTTTGTTTCCTATGGAAGTCAATGGGTGCCATCAACTGCCATGGTGATGCCATGGTGCGATTGGTCTCGTTACCAAAATTCTTCAAAATATCTTCTTTTGTGTTCAACAGAAGAAAAAAAAACTCATATGGGTTAGGAACAACTTGAGAGTGAGCAAGTAATGACAAAATATTTGGGTGAACTATCCCTTTAATAGACTTTATAGACCTGGGCCAACTTAAAAAGAGCCCACAAATACGCTCAACCCATTTTGTTTATGTAGTCAATTCTACTACATGCTGTAGCCTAATAATAAGCCTATAGCCTGTATAGCATTTAAGCCTTCACAACAAAGGTTTTCAAAATCATGCATGAGAAACATTCTGTAAATGCAGTCAAGTGTCTCCAGACATTTGACTTGTAAATACAAAGGCCTATTATATAACTTGTATACATTTAATACTATGATACTACAATATTCTGCTAGTATTAATTAATTTATTTGTTTACTGATTTAATTATTTATTCATAAAAATGGGATGATGTTCATGATGTTTCAAACTAGTATTTTGTGAGCCTAACTCCTGCCCTTGAGATCAAGTTAACCTTCCAATAAATATTTATTTATTGAATATACAATTGATTATATATTTATTCATTTGTTTATTTACAATATCTTCAAATGCCATTTGCAAATTAATAATGATTAATTTGGCTTTTTAATATAAAATAACGAATTTAATCCTTTTGACCGTTATTCCTTTAAGGAACCACTAGGTGCGCGCGTCCGTTAATCAACATAAATCTACACGAGAAAAACCTGCCGAAAGGTGGCGGATGTTTCCAGTTTCCACACGCTCACAATAAAAACAGGTGTGTTTTCCCTTTCAACATATTTCCACACATGCAGGTACTTCAAAGATGGTGCACTCGTGGCTTCGTTTAAATATAAATATCTGGAAAGTTTCTCTGCAACACCCTATCGCTCAGTTTGTCTGCTTAAAATAGACCCCGAGAAAGTTTATAAGTAAAGACCGCTCTTATCTCACACGCGTTTAAGTTCAAACTTCAGCAAATATGGACGGATTGTGATAGTGGCGAGTAGGCTACAACTTAACAAAGCCTCGCGTAACGGTTAAAACAGTTAACTTAGGTTTGAAGAGAGAGAACTAGAAAGAAACAGTTATTGTTATGATTGAATCCCCTGAGGGAGACGCGTAATCATGCGTAAACTCCTTCACTTCCCTATTCTGCCCACTTGCTTCAGTCCTTCCGCAAAGCAGGTGTTTCAAACAGCGTCTTGTTTCAGATGCAGAAGCTTTTAACTGGTGTGCGTTTGCGCATTTACACGTTCCCATTTAAGTGATACAATGTCCAACATTCACTAAGTCAGTTAGGCTTAGATTGGCTAGGCTCCAGTTCAGAGGACATCATGAAGTTTAACGGGTATCTGAAGTTGCGCATCGGCGAGGCAGTGGACCTGAAGCCCACGACCACCTCTATGCGACTCGCCGTGATGTTCAACAAGGCGAACCAGACCCTGGACCCGTACATTATCGTAAAAGTGGACGAGTATAAGATCGGACAGACGCATACCAAGCAAAAAACAAACATGCCCACTTATAACGAGGAGTTTTCCGTTAACGTCAACAACGGCAAGCAATTAGAGTTGGCCGTTTTTCATGACGCACCGATCGGATACGATGACTTCGTGGCCAACTGCACAATCCAGTTTGATGATCTGATGAAGACTACCAACAAAGAGGAGTCTTTTGAAGGATGGGTGAGGAATGTTTATCGTATGTCTCTCCTTTACCTGAGACATTTCTTTGCTTTAAATTGATAGAGATTTAATTTTCACATGCATGGTGTGGACATCTGACACTTTGAATGAATTAGTTCAAAAAGTTCAGAACTAACAGGGTGTTTGCTCTGATGGGACAGAGTGAGCATCTATGGATCTACCTGGTGGTATTGTGTTTGTAGAAAAGGGCATGTTGATAAGGCAAGAATGCAATTAATAATGCTAAAAATAAATATCTTCATATAGGCTATGTTTTGTTCTTTACTGATCTATAATTAGTTGCACACTAAAGACATAAGAAAAGCACAGTGTTGGATCATAAACTGTCAGTATACTACAATACAAAATGACTGGGGAGTGTTGTATTTTATTTCAACATCTGTAACTGTTTTTTTCTTTTCTTTCGTGCTATATGTTTCTAATTTTGATACAATATTCCCATATTTTCCTACTCTAAATGAAAGAAGTTTTAGAAATATATGAATAATTTAGTATCAGAATATGGGGTACAAACCAGGTCTTTTGGAACGCTATGTGAAAACATGTTCAAATGTAGGCATTAATTTATTGTGATAATCAAATTTACTTGTTCAATGTAAATATTATGCCATCCCCATCACCCTACCAATTTTCATTTAATTTTAAACATTTTGATTCAAAATGTAGGCTTATATACGTTTACACATTTGGCAGACCAAAATACTTTACGTTGCATTCAAGGTATAGTTAATCTTCGTTGTCAGTTCATGTATTCCCTGGGAATCAAAAACCCATGACTTTGGAATTATTAGCACCATGCTGTACTGTTTGAGATGTGCTGCTATGAAATGGTAAACAATTAGGAATTTTAATTCAAAACGGCAATTGAAGCATGAAATGGCAACTGAAACAAATATAGCAATACATAACATAAGCAACTTATGCCCACACTGTTTTATTTTTAAAGTAGCGTAGCTTGTTTTGGCAAAGGTAGCCTATACATTGTTTTTGTGCAATCTTTGTGTCTAGATTTGGACCACATTAGAAAGCGTTACCCTCTCTATCTGTGGCTATGATCTTTCTTTTTTGAAATGTTGCTTTTTTAAAATTAACTTTATTTTGTTACAAATGTTTTATGAGATGAAAAGCTTGTGTTATTATATATTAAATGACATGATAATCTGCTGATTTAGGTTGGTTCTTGTTATACCATAGTGATTTTACCACTGTAGGCCTAGCTCATTTCTATTTGGTTCAACGGATGGTGTTGCAGCACTCTCCACGGTTTCCCCTAAACCTCACACTGTTTGTTCTCTTGTATTGTGAGGTGTATCTTTGTTTTGTCGTGCTCTGTTGTATTGCAAAAGAACACCATGCAATACAACAGAGCACGACAAAACAAAGATACACACCGCAATATAATCACAAACATATCAATCAGCTCTGATCTGTTCTGTTCTGTTGTGTTGTTTCTTTGTTTAGTCTCTTTTGCTTTGTGCTGTTGTTTTTCCACTATGTGAACAGCAGAAGTGCAGAGGTTATGAGTGTTATCATCTTCCACCATCAAATGTGGCTTCACACTTACACACATGTCCGACAATGCATTGCAGTTCTAGACACAGATGTAGCGGTGCTGATGCATGATCAGTGGTTACAGTCAGTAAAATTTGGATTATCAGTCTCTCTGTAGGGTTGCAGCTAAGACCAGCTGAAACTTCTTGCTCTGTGGTTTTAGCATCTTCTATGGTCTAAACATCACAATTTCCATGTCTACACACCACCCTCAGAGCTAGTTCATGTTAGTGAGTGTGTTAACTCCACACTGCTGCAGGCCACTAAAACAGTAGTTGTAAAACACTTAGTGTCAGCATTTCAGTGACCAGATCAAACATGCACACACAACACAGCTTGCCTGCACTCAGCAGAGGTGAAAGTCTTCTTCTAACCTTATTAATCAACACAAGTACTGTTAGTTCTCTTTTCCCATAATCCACAGGAACATTATTTTTAGAATGACCGATCGTCTTGATTTTACGTGTCTTGACAAATTTTAACATTTGTTCATCTAGTGGACCGTAACATGGACATACACTTTGTTATTAGCATCAGGCTTATTTAAGGTTAAACTTTGTGTACATTTTAAATTATTAATTTATTTAAAGTGCTTGTTTAGAATTTATTTTATGTGATCTCAGTTAATATGAGGTCAAAAACCATTATGCATAAAATTGAATTGTTAAAGAAATGTTTAAAATAAAAACATCAAAAAACTATTGTCACTGCTTGAAATATCATGTAATCCAGTGGATCTCTCAACCTTTTGCCACCCCCACAATTTTTTCAATAAAATATTTTAGAGCTTGCCTTGGCATACTAGAAAAATAAATGTAACCAAATATTAAGAAATATCATGATTTTTAGTTGTTTTAGCTTAGCCTATATTTTATATTTGTTTTGTCTTACTTTAAATAATTGTAAGTCATCTTAAAGGCCCAGTTATACTAGCGTCACGGCGTTTTCATTCTTTGTTTACGTTCGACGTTCGAAATACGTGAGCAGCGATATACTGTTATCGAACATCTGACGGCGCACACACTGCTGAGAGCAATGTTTAGATGAATATGTAAATATGCGCTGCGCACTTTCCTCTCTCAATAACAACATAAACACACAACAAAATTGATAAAACCGCAAGCATTTTAATAAAGCATAAGAAAAGCATCTGATCATAGGATCTTGGATATGTTTGCACAAGCTCTATGGCACTCCAGTAGTCAAGTTTATATCACTTATAGATTATAGAATTTTCGATAGTTACAATTATTACGGTGGCCGAGAGAGCTCAACGCGCTGCAACTGAAGAAAACACATGCAAATAGAAAAAAACACATGCAAATAAAATAAAACGCATGCAAATAGAAAAAAACACATGCAAATAAAATAAAACGCATGCAAATAGAAAAAAACGCGTGCAAATAAAAAAAACACCCGCAAATTAAGAAAACATCTTCATCAGTTTCACAACACACGTGTGCTCCAAATACTCACAACACCACCAAATACAGAAACGCGCTGCAAATAACACAGACCACAACGGAAATGTTTCCAGGGGAACCAAATAAGTGACGAACCCGGCTGGGACGTGCTGGCATAGATATCCATAAATCTATGCGTGCTGGTGCTTACAGCTTAAAATTATACTTTATTTATTTATTTATTTATTTGTGCAAAACATACAGAGATTGTAATACTTTTGACATACTTTTTTTGTAAACTAAAAATAAAAATGTATTTGCATCCGTTATGTTAACAGCATTATATTTCTGTCGTAAGACCAGCTGATGGACACCGTGCTGCGTTGTCATGGGAATATCCCAGGTGAAAATAATGAGGAAATTACGTTGTATTTCGTTGCTCCCTTCATCAAGTGCGCTCCACACGGCTGCCTAACAGCACACTAGACCCCTGCTCACTCCACAGTCCCACTTTAAGGGCTCTGCAATCTGCCCTTCGAAGGGAGTAGGGCATAGGGAAGCTCACGAGCAATAAGCACGTCCCAGCCGGGTTCGTCACTTATTTGGTTCCCCTGGAAACATTTCCGTTGTGGTCTGTGTTATTTGCAAGGGGGTAATCCATCCGCCGGAAACTGAAGCTTCGCTTGGGAGCCGCCATTGTAGCTGACTATCACCTGCTGTTAGCATTCCATTGACTCCCATTCATTTTGGCGTCACTTTGACAGTGAATAACTTTACATCTGAGGTGTCCAAAGACTCCATTTGTCCATTATTTATGTCTTAAGAAACAGGACAATGGATAAAAGGCTCCATTACTTTGTATCTTACGTTATGGCCCCATAGAAGCTGTTTTTGTAAAAATAGGCTAACGATTGCGTCATAACCACGGGACTCTCTGTCGCACAGTAGAGAAATTACCGTATAGACAGAAGGAGAAGCTCATAGGCAATCTTTTACTGTCTATGAGGCAATCGGGTGGACATGGAGGCATAAAGTCAAGGGAGAAGCCCATAGATAGAGAGTTCATAAAAGCAACGGGACAAAATATTTCAACAACAGATTTGTTTTCGATTTAGATTCAGATTTGTCTCGGCACAGATACTAGAAGGTCAGAACGGTTGCTCACGTCACATCAACGTCATCAAGCTCAGTTTGAGCCTGCGCAGTACGCTTGGCTATCAGGAAGTGAGTGCTTCTAATGGGCTTCAACTTTCTCCGTTGAAATCTATGGGGTCGCTGTGTCCATTTCTTTTACTGTCTATGGTTATTTGCAGCGCGTTTTCTGTATTTGGTTGTGAACTTTTGTAGCGCGTTTCTGTATTTGGAGCACACGTGTGTTGTGAAACTTTAAATTTGCAGGTGTTTTTTTTTCTATTTGCACGCGTGTTTTTCTATTTGCATGCGTTTTTTTCTATTTGCACGCGTTTTTTTCTATCTGCATGTGTTTGCTTCAGTTGCAGCGCGTTGAGCTGTCTCGGCCACCGTAAATTATAATTAATAATACAATTATAGATAGCTAGTTGTAGTAGCATACAACTTCATTTTCTACTATTACGCAGCTCTACAATGTGTTCATGTTTTCACTCACGAACATCTGACTTCGACCAACTGAACAGGCCAAATGAACCAGAAAAGATTTCCACGTGAAAGAAGGCGGAGCCTCCGCGCACACCTACCTACCTATCACGTAATCGCCACAGATCATTGGTAGTACGAAGGTGTTCAGCAGCCAGAGCGAACTGCAAGCTGTTTCGAAATCCAAAAACTAACTCTGTTAGTCTGTTCAAAAACAAACTTTGTTTTGGCCTTCGTTCTTAGATTTCACTTGAAGTACATCGGGGCCTTGAGGCCCCCTTGGAAGTGTATTGAGGCCCTCTGGTTGAGAACCACTGACGTAAGGCAATATGCAACTAAAATACAAATTTCAATCAAGATTCAAAATTTTTTTTATGTTTAAAATAAGTCAGGAAATGTTAGCATGAGCGTTTCAAAACAGAACAATTCCGGGGGAAAATGGGAGAGGGGTGGGGTGTTGGGATTGCAGTTTACAGTAATGAAAGTGTATGCTACCATTCAAAAGTTTGACATCAGTACGATTTTATTAAAAGAAATTAATACTTTTATTCAGCCAGGATTCATTAAATTGCTCAGAAGTTCCAGTAAAGACTTTCACATTGTTAGAAAATATTTCTATTTAAAATAAACGCTGTTCTTTTGAACATTCTATTCATGAAAGAATCCTGAAAAAATTGTGGTTTCCTGAAAACTATTAAGCTGTTTTCAACATTGATCATAATAAGAAATGTTTCTGAAGCACCAAATCAGGCTGTTTTTACAGTATATCTGATCAAATAAATGCAGCCTTGGTGAGTATAAGAGACTCCTACCGACCCCAAACCTTTGAACTTTAGTGTGTGAGCATTGAACTTCGTGTGGAACACAATAGATAGTCATCCTCAGACACACGGCCTCTGCAGCTGCAGATCACATAACCACTATTTAATGATACTCCACTTTCAATCTGTCTGGGCTATGGGATTTTTAAAAAAAAATTATACCGCCAATGTTAAGTCTCATATTCCAGTGTGTATTTGTGTTTGTGTAAAGCCTCAGGCTTTTGGGACAAATGGTATGTAGTGAAACCTGCAGTTCAAAACACTACACACAAGTAAGTGTACTGTATGAGTGTGTGTGTTAGCTTATATGGGAACTGCCTTTAGGAATCCAGCAGTTTCTGTTATGCAATTTTATCAGTCAGTGAAACTAGCATTAAAAAAAATTGTATAAAATGGAAGTTGTGTAGTTTAGAGAGTCTCTCCTTCCACACAGTCCGTATGAATTTGTCTGCTTTCAGTTCTGACCAAATGAAAGGAAGTATGTGTGTGTGGTAGGGAAAAACATATTCAATTGAACTCAAATGAAAGTTGCTAAAGCAAAAAATTGTTTTAAAAAAAGTACAGCAAAATAAATGTGAAAGAGAGACAGAGAAGAAAGTGTTTAGCAGAGCTTTTTATGGCTACCTGTATGCATCACAATATTCTTTCAATTTGTTTTTATTTCAGCTGTTTTGCCTAAATAACAGCAGATTTATATTTAGACCACCACCCCTTCAACCACACAGTCTTCCTAAGACGTCAGCGAACCTGATGTAATAGGTAAAGAGCTTTTCTGATTGGCTAAAAACTCAGAATGGCTCAATAGTTAAAAATTCATGATGTTTTCATAATTTAATCAGTTTAAATTTTATATGGAATAAGATTGTTCTGTGAGATTTTACAGAGAATTTACTTTATAAAATATTTTATATTACTTATTTTATCTGGAAATGTACAATAAAATAGTTTATGCTGACAGGTGCAAAAAAAAAAAAGTTTTACATATTGACATAGATCTTATATAAATAAGTAGTTTTGTCTGCAACATTTCTTTTACCAATGACTCAAATAAAAACACACACAAGCACATTGGGTTTAGGTCTGTATCACACGCAGGTCTCCACATGCCCACAAAATTGGTTTTCTACAGACTAGAGTTTACCACAGGCCCATGAACGCCCCCCTTACGTCTCGCTGTCTCTTTCCATTTCGGGGGTTGTCTTTCCGTTGATCTCTTTACTCTTTCTTTGCTCTACAGTAAACTGAAGTCCAGCTCTAATTTTTCACTTCTGCCTGACATCATTTACATTTTCGGTGGGGTAAAAAAAGTGCAACACTGTATATCAGTGTGTGTTCTTGGGAGTTCTTGTAAAATATTACAATCTTAAAAGGTCATAAAGTAATTGGATTTACTATAGTCATTGAATATAATTTTTTAATAAATATTCTTTGTCAAGAAATTACTCTTACAGTCACAAATAACTGTAAAACTCTAAATGTATTGGTCAGATAGCCTTTTTAAAGAATCTACGTAAATTATAAGTTTAACATTTTTGTCTCTGCTATACCTTCACTTGTGTTATTTCTAATTTTGATCACTTTACCATTATACATTTTTTTATATATATTTAATGTAAATAGTTTGTGTAACATTAACTTATTTAGCATTCAACATCTAAAGTTATATTTAATGTAATTACATTAATTTCTGTTTTTGTGTTGCAGGTTGACCTTGAACCTGAGGGTAAGGTCTACATTCTGGTTACTCTCACAGGCTCATTTATAGAAGGTAAGTCCCTCCTCTCTCATTTGCATAGCGCTTCCTTTCTGTCTCTGTCTCCGTCTCTCTTTCTTTTAAATTACTTTATGCAGAAGTAGAACTTTTACAGAGTGTCATTTAAAAACATCGATTCGACAGTCATTCTGGCTTTGTTTGGACGGGAAGATAGAGGCGTACTGAGAACACACAGGGTCGGTTTCATTGCCTCTGATGGAGTAAAATGAAAATATAAAAATCTTATTGATGAAATGCACTGTCTAGGCCATGATAATGGGAACGCACACTCACACACACACTTCACTAAAGGAAGGAATCTTACTTTCCTCCCCTTGCTGTTGAGATATCGGTTCACTAACTGTTAAACTGCTTCCAGACTTGTCAACACATGTTAGTGGTGCTCTAAGACACACAAAGCCAACTTCAGTCACAGTTATTTTAAATCGACATCTGTCAGAGCGTCTTATGCATGAAGTGTACGCTATGTGTGAATCGCACACACTGTGCAGGAGGGTGTAAAGCTGGCTTCCTTTTAAAGGCCTGTGGTTAGGCCTTCAGAGAAGAGACTAGATCTAATAATACCAGTGAACTGGGGGCCCTTAATTGTCGTTCTTCCCCCTCACATATTCAAAAGAATGTCACATGGCATTATAGGAAATGTCTACAGTACGTGTTCTAAAAAGATCATGCATCATGATTCATGAAGTAATAAAAAAGTTTTTTCTGTATCTCTGTGTTTAGATGACACTGAAGGAAATGCACGTACCTATAAGGAATTTAATCGAAAACGGCAGCAGGCAGTTCGAAGGAAAATTCACCAAGTTAACGGGCACAAGTTCATGTCGACCTTCCTAAAGCAACCAACATTCTGCTTCCACTGCAAAGAATTTATATGGTAGTGCACCTAACACGTTCATGCACATCTTTTATTTTTTTTTACAAATTTTTTTTTACCTTTTTTTTTTTTTTAAATGAACACTTTTTTTGTGAGTTTTAAAATTGTAAGATATTATTTTAATAGCAGCATTATTTAAATGAGAAATTGTGCATTTTTGATGGAGTTTCTGCGCTGACTTTAGTGGGAAAATCTGTGGAATTCTGCAGGATGATTTTAAACGCTAAGAATGCATTCCCCTGAGAATGCTACACTTACTTTTCATAATCAAATTAGCTAAAATATTTAATAAACAAACACACTGGGTGACAAAGACATCCTGCAGGTGTATATTCCTACAAATTAGTTATTTGTATGGCTTTTCTATACAAACAAAGTTTTTTATTATAATAAGAAATGTACTTAATTAAAACTTCAGAATTTAAATGGGGTTTATTATGTTAAAAAAGTGTTTTACAGGGAAGTTTGTGTACAAATGCTTAATGTGAGTGACTGCAGAAACTTTTCACAAACGTTGTGTGTTTTCTTTGTGTTCCAGGGGTGTTTTTGGAAAACAGGGATACCAATGTCAAGGTGAGTAGACACTCTGTTTCTATATTAATTAATATTATCTGTGTTTAAATGGATTGTAATGGATGTTATAATCAGCCGTGTGTTTGTGTGTTAGTTTGCACCTGTGTGGTACACAAGCGATGCCATCAGTTTGTGGTTACGGTTTGTCCACGCATGAAGAAACCTGCCAAGGAACAGGTAACGCGCAACCCTAACCCTAAAATACTTATGTAGTCCTTTTGTGTGTGTGTGTATTTTCTCAAGATGATTTGATCTGGTTTTGCTTTTTATCAGTGGACATTTAAAAAATTATATATATATTTTGGCCGCAGAATTACAGAGAAACACAGAAAATGTTGAAAAAAAATTACTACTGGTTGTGTCCTGATAAACAGTTGCCATTTCTCCACTTGCTAGTCAGGAGAAGAATTGCTGAAATGTATTATGTTATGCATTTGTTCCTTTTCATTACAGCCTACAAATCAGGGTTTCAGTATAAACATTCCCCATAAGTTCAACATCCACAATTATAAGGTTCCTACCTTCTGTGACCACTGTGGCTCTTTGCTGTGGGGCCTCGTACGGCAAGGATTGCACTGCAAAAGTACTTATTTCTTTTTTTTTTTGTCACCGCCCCTTGTTCCTCAGAAATCCATCCATCAGTCTTATTCATACTGTTTTGTGATGCTCATCTAGTATGTTGTGTTTTTACGTCTGCAGTTTGTAAAATGAACGTCCATATCCGCTGTAAGGGAAATGTTGCGCCAAATTGTGGAGTCAACAATGTAGAACTGGCCAATAAACTGGCAGAAATGGGCCTTCAGCCAGGAGGAATGACCAAACGCAACTCCATGGTACGTTAAATACACACATGTGCACACAATGTTTTAGAAAGTGAAATATGTGATCTGTCTGTGTGAATCTCTCTATTTAAGTTTATTGTGCTTTATTGACATCACACATACTGTAACTGCATTTCACATGGCTGCATGCAGTGAAAATAGGGTTAAAACTTTAAGGAAGTAAGCAAAGAAATTAAGGGAAGTAGCATAAGACCATCAACAGAATAATAGTTAAAGATACAATTCCTAGCACTGAACAAGTAATAATCTAATGAAGACTATTAGAAATAAAAAATCACTTGCTCTCTCTTTTCTCAGGCTCTCGCAGGTATGGACACTCAGTTCCGGACGTTGAGTGTGAGAGGAGATCGAGGGGAATCTAAAAAAGAGCAGAGTTGGAAACTGGGAATCTCAAACTTCACGCTTCTGCAGGTGTTGGGAAAAGGCAGCTTTGGCAAGGTCTGTGCTCAAGTTCATGTAGCACAACGTTTGCAGAATATTTGTTACACAAAGTATTCACACTATTCCAGTGTGATTGTGTGTTCTTGTAACAAATGATTCCAATGTGATTCTTTTTTTAATAATATAGGCCAGTATTATTCAAATAATATATATTTTTTTAATTTCTTAGTTTTTCCAGTTTACAGAAAAAAATGATATGCTCTGAAAAAACATTAGATCATTGCAGTGCTAATTACTTCTAAACAGTGTAATATGCCTCAGTGGGCTGTGCTGTTTCATATTAAAATATTTGTTTTTTTGTGCCAAAAATTCAGAGTGAATATGCCCTTACAAATTAAAGGAAGATAACCCACATGCTTTTAAGTCATGCTGTTTATGCGGTGTGTTAAATAGGTGATGCTGGTCCGGTTGAACGATTCAGATCAAGTGTTTGCAGTGAAGGTCTTGAAGAAAGACATCATACTGCAGGATGATGATGTGGAGTGCACTATGACAGAAAAACGAGTGTTATCCCTCGCTTCCACTCATCCTTACCTCACTCAGCTCTTCTGCTGCTTCCAGACACCGGTGAGAGAAAACACACACACACACACACACACACACACACACACACACGTATATGTATGTATACATACTGTATTATGTTCTTTGAATAAGAGCATGCAGTTTTTCACATCATCGGTAGGTGGCAGTAGAGGATTAAGCACGGGTCAATAAGGACATCAATTTGTTTTGATCTGGGTTACATTCTACATTGCATTTGTGTATTTGCTGTCTCATTTTCAGACCCTCTTGAAATATTATACACACGGTTTCATTTGGTTACATTACATTTACTTACTCTACCTTAAGTGTACACAAGGTTTTAACAAATACACACACACACACACACACACACACACACTGATTGCAAAAGGATTTAAGGACAAACTTCATGTTCATTCCAGCAGAACAGATCTGACATGATGACCTCTCAGGATTTATTACTGCAGTTCACGTGAACATGGATGTCCAGGATCATCCTCAAGGTCTTGCTGATGTGTGTACAGTGTAATTGTAATGAGTAAAGGAATTTATGAACCGGTTTTTCTATGCTCCTTCACAGCCCTGACACATACAATCAATCTAATAAACCTCCACACGTGAGCGACATATAAAGCACACTCATGACCCTCTGGGCTCAGGTTAAATGAGATAGCAATGCAATGTGGCTGTGAAAATCGATGATCTCTGAGGGTCTGCGGTGTGTGGGACTCTTTCAGTGTTTGTGTGCGTCTGTGTTGTGTTTGATCATTAGTGGATGTGCCATGTTTTGCTAGTCCAAATCTGGTCCACTTTACATATTCCCTTACACAGGAAGTAAACGTCTGACTGATGAAAAGCCAACCACAGTCAGTTAAAGGGTTAGTTCACCCTAAAATTTAAATTCTGTCATTAATTACTCACCCTCATGTCGTTCTAAACCCGTAAGACATCTTCGGAACACAAATGAAGATCTTTTTAATGAAATCTGAGAGCTTTCTGTCCCTCCATTGACAGTCTACGCAACTACCACTTTCAAGTCCCAGAAAGTTAGTAAAGACATCATTAAAGTAATCCATGTGACTCCAGTGGTTTAACCATCATTTTATGAAGCGACGCAAGTGCTTTGTTTGCGCCAAAAAACAACACCACAATTTACCACTTTATTTACAAGATATTAATCTCCGACGCGCAATCACGCTACGTCTGCTCTCACATCAACACGACAACAAGCATGCGTCGTGGTGCTGTCGTGCACATTTTTGGGTGAATTAACCCTTTAAGGTTTTTTGTGTGATTTAGGGGAGGATATATTTGAAAAGCACTGGTCTCTGAACAATTGTACAGAAACACAGAAGAAATTTGTCCAAAAGGTGTAAATACCCATCTACCTTTTAATATTGCACTTGACATAGAAATCTTAACACTTTTATTGAATAAAAAAATGACAAATTCAGCTAAATTGTCTAAATAATTTATTTTATCCATCTATAAATTACAGGAACGTCTGTCTGTCTGTCTGTTAATCGAATATCTCTCGAACCGTTAGTCCGATGATGGATTTCAAATTTGACGGGTGTCTTGCTACGGGCACGAGTATGTGCACTTGTGCAGTGCCGAGTTTGACTTTGTTTGGATTAGAAATGCAAAAGATATCGGTAAAAGAAGCACACATTGAAGTTGTGGTTTAAAAATGGTGGTTTAAAAATAAACATTCTGTCAGCTAAACATCTAATCTAATCTAAACTCCTGCTATGTACACAGATACCCAAATACATCTCACCTAATATCACCATTATAAATTGTTTTGCAACCATGTAGTTCAATTTTCCATATTTATTGTATGTCATTATGTCAGTATCAGTATTTGCTTTCTACCAGCAAATAAAAATGTCACTGAACTTTTGCTGTGTAATTGTAACAATAAGCACTCAAACACACCAAACCAACAATTACTAAAAACATGCACAAAAACGGATTTTGAACGGGCATATCTGTTATTTGAACCGTTAGTCCGATGGATTTCAACTTGACAGCTGTGCGTAGCGATTTCACGGTGTAGCTGCTACAGCCAAGGTCTGTACCAGCCAAGGTCTGCTTATTCATTTGTAGATGTTAACTGAATCTGTAAGTCAGCTACACTGTTTAATTATGAATATTATATTTTATTCTGGTGCGCTTAACGTTATCGTTTTCTCAGAGTTTAGGCTCCTGTGTAATAGTAGCCTAGGCTATTCAGCAACTCAAACATACCAAACCAACAATTGCTAAAAACAGATTTTGCACGGGCATTGCAATAGTAATATATAATTATAATATGAATTAAAAACATTTTTATTTAAAGTTCCTTTTCTTTAAAAAGGGTTTAGCATGCTACATGAAACAATTAAAAATGTGAGATGTATTCTGCAAAAATTAAATAACAATCCAGAAATGTTTTTTGGTAAAAAATGACCCTTTTCATAATTTTACATTTTCTTCTATAACAAACAAAATGAGTATTTCTTAACATTTTGGATTATGTATCATCATCATCCTTATTCTGTACATGTTAAAGTCATATCTAAATATGGTCAGTTTCGCAGTAAAACTTGTCACATCTTACCCTACTGATTATTTCTCAAACTGAAAAGGATTGCTTTTCGCAAGTGCTTTCCAGTTTTGTGTGCAACATGCATCATATGGTCAGTAAACGGACTGTGGGTGGTCCCTGGGTTTGCGGTCTGAGTTTGATATATAGGCCGTGGTGAACTCAAGCGTGCTGTCAATTCAAACTTATGATGCTTTTCATTTTAGATCACCTTCCAACCCTCATAATCCCAACAATCCTGTGTTTCCTGCAGTGTTCTTTGCTGAACAACAGTATTTATGTTTCTGCTTCATCTTGCTCTCCCATGAATCTTCTAATGGCTCTGACATGCTCGGTTAACCGTCTGGTTGCTTTAAAAACTGAACTAAGAAGCTGGATTTCCTGATGTTGTAGGTGGTAATCTAGTGTTTATTGTTGTTTTATAGCTGAATCTTAATCTTAACTTCTTAATCCTTTCACAGGACCGTCTGTTTTTTGTAATGGAGTTTGTGAATGGAGGAGATCTGATGTTTCATATTCAGAAATCCAGAAAGTTTGAGGAGAACAGAGCCCGATTCTACACAGCGGAGATCACGTCTGCTCTCATTTTCCTTCACAGCAAGGGGATTATATACAGGTTAGACGCACACAAATGCACTCAAAGCAGAAATTAAAAGGATATTTCATCCAAATTGACAATTCTGACATCATTTACTCACCGCCATGACGTTCCAAACACTTTCTTCAGTGGAACACAAAAGGTAAAGTTTAGTTGAATGTTCAAGCCTCTCTTTTCCAAACTACCGCTGTCCCTGATCGACATTAATTCATTCTTTTGTGTTCTATGGAAGAAAGAAAGACAAATGGTTTTTTGGAACAGCATGAGGGTAAGCAAATGATGACACAAATTTTGTTTCTCGGTTGAACTATCCTGTTCTGTGAATTCTCTGAAATTCCACTTCCTTTTTAAATTCCACTTCTGTGTCTTCTGAGGTTCGTTATCACTATGAGACTAATTTTTACCTTGGCGTTTCCATTATTACAAACCTTTATCCATATGGACCTTTAAAGATGTAGTGCTTTACTGCTTTGGCTGGGAAACAGCACCGGCACTGAAGCAGAGAGCAAAATATGAGTTGGCTTACAAAGCAAATGGCAAAATATCAGTGCTCGTGCAGTTACTGTGGACTGAATATGAATTTATGATAAAGTATAAACATTATTTTGAATGCATGCGTATGTGAGAGGTAAATAACTATTTTGACGTGGAGTGCCATTTGTAATTTATCTTTAAGAAGGAAGTGATTTACCAAGTGATTTTCATGCAGTGGTTTACCAAGTAAACAAAAATATTAACATATAACATTTCTCTCTCTCTGCCATAATGGTCTGAATCTGGGCATATTGTTATGTGTTTGTGTATTATTTCAGGGATCTGAAGTTGGATAATGTTCTGCTGGATAAGGATGGTCATTGTAAGCTGGCTGATTTTGGCATGTGTAAGGAGGGAATGTTTGAGGGTGTTGTCACGGGTACCTTCTGTGGAACTCCAGATTACATTGCTCCAGAGGTGATTCAAACACTCCAAGACATTCTATCTAGAAATCAATGGCTGTCTAAAATACACACACAATTATGCATCACAGAATTCTAGCATAATCAGAAGTGTGTCGGAATGACTTTAAGAATCAGATGCAAAGTCAGAGATTCTGCTCAGAGCTGTGTACATTCATTTCTTTGGCAACACACATAAGGCAAATATGGATCCTTTTTTGGCTTTGATGTTATTAAAGGGTTAGTTCACCCAAAAATGAAAATTCTGTCAGTAATTACTCACCCTCATGTTGTTCCAACCCCGTAATACTTTCGTTCATCTTCGGAATGAAATCTGAGAGTTGGCTAACTCCTTCATAAGGCAGGAACACACCAAGCCGACGAACTAGCGTTGATGAAAGCCGACTGTGTTGTCACCTCGCGTCGGGGTAAAAACCTGTACTTGAACACACCGAGAGAACTACTGCCGACTGTTATAGCTAGCTATAACTGTTATAGCTAGCTAGCTAGAATGCGTGTTCTGCGCCTGCGTGTGAATGAGACAACTGTCTATTTCTGCAGATATATTCGACATTCAAAAAGAGAAACCGACGCTGCAGATAACGTTACACAAACCATAAACAAAGCAGTGTGTGCTTACCGTTTTGAATATCAATCCTGTTAAACACTTTCTTTATTCCACTCCACTCATGTTAATATTTAAATATTTGCCAAGGAACACTCATGTAGGATGAATCTGTACCGTTTTGACTTCTTTGCTCTCTGTTTTGCTGTTATTCTCGTGCACTGACTCGTTCACTAAGCTGAATAGCCAATCAGAGTTCTCTCTCTCACCGACGGCCCGACGCCGATTCAACATGTCGAATCGGCTGTTACAAAGCCGACGAGGACCAATTTCAGCCGACAGGGCGGAACACACTGAGAAAACTTAGTCGGCCGACGCACAAAAACTGCCCGACGCCCGACCGTTGGCTTGGTGTGTTCCTGCCTATAGGCTGCAAGGTCATTTTATCTGCCAGCTCAGAAAAATTTGTAAAGACATCGTTAAAATAGTCCAAGTTACTACAGTGGCTCAACCTTAAGTTTATCAAGCGACTAGAATACTTTTTGTGCGCAAAACCCCCCAAAAATAACGTCTTTATTCAACTATTAATTTTCTTCTGTGTGGGCCTCTGACGTGAGTTCACGAGAGCGTCACGACGCACGCGTGAGAACTGAGAAGATGACGCTCACGATCATTTGATGGGAAAGTGTGAAAGGTAAGCCATTCATTTTGCGGCATTGGTAAGGCACTTTTACGTTTTCTCGTTGGTTTCTCACGATTCGGACATCCAGGAATTGCACACTTTAGAACCATTTTAAACACTACATTGAGACCCATCTGCGTCATCTTCTCAGTTCTCGCGCATGCGTCGTTGCGCTCTCATGAACTGCTTCAAGGTTTGACGTGCTGTACGTTCAGAGATGCTCTTCTGCAGACCTCGATTGTAAAGGCCCTTGCACACTGAGTCCGAAATTTTCACACGTTAAAAAATAAATACGACCTCACGTTATGTCAATCACGCTTGCACTCTGCCTCCGAAACTTTCGTCCGTCATAAAAAAAATCGGATCGGGTTCGATTTTCTGCGTTTTTCGCATCCGTAGCAAGCAGTTTGAATGGTGTTTTGACAATTCAGAGCCACCGAATCATGAATACGAAAAAACGCATACGAAAATTTCGGACTCAGTGTGCAAGGGCCTTAACTGGTGGTTATTTGAGTTACTGTTGCCTTTCTATCAGCTCAAACCAGTCTGGCCATTCTCCTCTGACCTCTGGCATCAACAAGTATCGCCCACAGAACTTCCGCTCACTGTATATTTTCTCTTTTCAGACCATTCTCTGTAAATGTTAGAGATGGTTGTGCATGAAAATCCCCATAAATCAGCAGTTTATGAAATACCCAGACCAGCCCGTCTGGAAACAACAATCATGGCATGTTCAAAGTCACTTAAATCACCTTCCCTATTCTGATGTTCATTCATGTCTACTTGCCTACATGCATTGAGTTGTATAATATAATATAGTATAAATAAAATATATAATTCAGAGGTATTGTAGATATAAACTGTATGCTTCTAATTGGTGTCTATCTTTTTGGCGAAAAGATGTACATAAATGTGTGATAAGGTGTGTGTGAGAAAGAGAGTGAAAGAGATGGTAGGATGTCGTAAATGTATTAAATGTGATTTTCATATGGCCTATAGATCCTTCAGGAGATGCTGTATGGGCCGTCAGTTGATTGGTGGGCTCTCGGTGTGCTTCTGTATGAGATGCTATCTGGACATGCCCCCTTTGAGGCAGAGAATGAGGATGACCTTTTTGAGTCCATCCTGACCGAAGAGATCATCTACGCGTCCTGGCTCGGCACAAATGCTGTGGACATACTGAAAGGGGTGAGCTGCTCAGTGTTCGCTTAAGAGTCCTGGAGTCATACAGACATGAATTGCCTTGAACGGAGCAGTGTATGCTTAAATGTCCTGATTGGTGGGAGGCATATGGTGTGAATTAAACTGTCAGTTCATGCAACAATGAACATCAGTAAACAGTAAATACCTCCCATCTGATGTCTCTCTGATCCTCATGCTCTTTCCCTCTTACATAACTATATTTAGCCTCGATCCACAATCCACTGCTCTCACATGACTAGCTAAAAATAAAGACTCTTCACATCAAATATACACAGGCACACAACCCCCCTTCTCTCACTCTATAGTGTTTGCTCTCACTGTGAAGCATAGTACCGGTAGTATTGCTGGGGATGATTTTTTGAATTATTGAAGGACCAATAAATTCCCAGTTGAATCTGAAAATTCTACAGCTGAATGTCACGATATTTGACTGGAATGAAAAATACTGAAAACATGGGTCATTCAACATGACATTGACTTACAAGAGTCAAAGAATAGATCAATAGAGTGGCTAAAAAGCGTTCTATTTCTGGAATGGCAGACCTCAGTCCTGTTGCACTGCTGTGCTGTTATCTGATGTAGACGGCCCAGAAAAACACATGAACCATTGTAAGAAACAATGGACAACATATCATATAGGTTATATATATATATATTTATTTATATTATACTTTATTTGAATCAGTATCGACCTGATTTTGGGTATTAAATTATGCATGCTAATTTTCCCTTTATTTTACATTGAGATTTCCTTTGCTATCATCTAACGCTCATCAAAAGTTAATCTTAAAAACCCTAATAACTTAGTAATGCTGTTAAATGTAATCTTTAGTAAATCAAAATGAAGCATTTTTTAATGCGCATAATGCCTAAATTCACATTTTAGTTTTTTATTCATTTAGACAAAATAGTATAGAATTTTAATATCGAATTTAAATTATTATATATATTTTTTCTATGGTGTTTTGTGAAATCTCTGTAAAACTGGATGATCCCTCTGAACAACGTTGTTTAGAGTCGATGACGTATGGTACCCAGCTGCGCTTCCTAATGGGTGTCAGATTTACCCGAAGTGTGTGTGTGTGTTTTTTAGACGACCATAGAAGTAGGTCCGGAGTTGATTTGATTTGATTTAATCTGATTTGGTTATATTTGATAGCACACATTGATACTCTCGACACAACCTCCCACAAGTGATTGTGTGTTGTTATATACACGTTCTTTTAGGAGTTGAGTCTGATATTGATACTGTAGGTTTAATCTTACTTTGGAGATTTGATAGGATTAAACAACATTCAATAGCTTTGGGCACTTTCTTCTTTTTTACTAGTGATTTTGTTTTTTGAAACCTAAACTGAAATATACAGTATCTGGTGTGTATTGGCTTTCACATTTAAAGTACATGCATGTTTTACAGACATATGCATGATGACACATTTATTTTGGTTTTATTTTGCTCAGTTTCTGACAAAGAATCCATCCCGCCGTCTGGGTTGTGTGGCTGCAGAGGGTGGAGAGACTGCTGTAACCAGTCACCCATTTTTTACTGCCATTGACTGGGACAAACTGAACCGGCGAGAGCTTGACCCTCCTTTCAAGCCCAGAATTGTGAGTGAAAAATTTATAATTATAATATACTGTAAAGTAAATGCAGATTTATAATTTTAGATTTTAAAATCTAAAATCCCCAGAAAACCGCAGAAGATGTGAATAATTTTGATCCAGATTTCACTCAAGAGGATCCTACTCTTACGCCCATTGATGATGACATCATCCCATCCATCAATCAGGATGAGTTCCGTGACTTCTCCTTTACCGCTCCTGGACTCTTGAATGTGGTTTCGGAGATGCAAAGGAGAGCTGAAGAAACGTGTGATGTCATAAAGAAGGAACGGAATGCAGGAGAATTCTCTGATGTGATAGAACCAAATGAATTTTGACATTGGAAACTTGCAAGAGCAGTCTAAAAGAACATTTGGATACCAGTTTATTGAAACTTGGCCTATGCTTTAGCACAACAGTTTAATTGTCTTTGTGTCAGTCAGACGCATAGTGAGTGATACGCAAAGATCTCCATGAGATGCTCTATAACCAGAAGACACCGGTTTACACCAATCCGAACATGAACTGGTCCGTATCTAATAGTGCTCATATCTATTCTAAATGTTTAGGAAATTTGATTTGACCCCCTCTGCACTTACTGTCTCTAACACCATCTGCCATGCACTAATTCAGTCAGAATTGTTCTATTGTCAAGACACCAGACTCAAAAGTTTTGTAAAATATTTTCATACATTTCATTGTTCATCTATGCCGTTTGTTGTTTTGTCTATTAGTTTGTTTGTTTGCTATTACGGTTAAGGTCAGAATTTCACCCATGATTCACTCCAGCATCTGTAGATGTATTTTATTGTTGATAAAGGTTACAGTATTGAGTTCTCTTAGACCTTTTGTCTGTGACTCCATCAGAAGGCATCTCCTTTCTGTTGTTCTGAGGGGTTAAAGGTGAACACACTCGGGTGAAACGTTGACCATTTTCAATTTTTTATATTGAGGCCAGTGGCACTTCCTCATCATTCTTTAATGTTGTTTATTTGGATCTTCTCAGTCCGAACAGAGCAAAATATCTATTGGCGTTTGCTTTCATGTCTCAGCATATTTGCCACTGATTTCCCATTATTACTTTTTGTGCAGTAGTTTCAGTTGTGAAAACAATCTGTAAGAAAGCGCAAAAAAAAACGTTGTAATCACCATCAAATACATTCAGATAGTATTCTTTAAAAAAAAAAAAAAAAAAGTAAACAAGACCGTAATTTATTTTTAATTTTTCAGATACACTCTCGTGGCATTTTGTTACTAATTGAATTCTACTTGCGCCCCACTGATGGTTAGATGTAGAGGTGGACCTTCATGCTTGCTTTTTTTCTTCTTTGAACGTTTCCATATGAATCACACAGTATAAATTTGTACAAAATCGCCACCACAACAGTAAAGTCCCAAAGTCCCCAATAGTAAATTGATGCCTCGTTCTATTTATGACGTAAGCTACACGCTTGCACTACCTCTGACATGAAGGACAAATTGATTTTCAACGGTTGCATTGACAGCAGTGTAGGCACAATATCAGCCTGGGAGACCACTAGACCAGCTAAGACCAAGAAACCAGCTTAGGCTGGTTTAAGCAGGTTTTTTTCATGAGGGAAATGCCACAGCTTGCGTTAAATCAAACAAGAAAGAGTATTAAGGTTGGTTGCTTGCAAGATCGAGTCAAGCTACGAGGAAAACATTTACCTAATGAGACTAGTAATGAGTATATTGAGTATTCCCTGAAGATTTTCTATTTTCCACTACCTCAGTAAAAACCACCATGACAGTATAAGACAGAAAGGTTGATTCTGCCATATCATGCTTACACCATTTTGCTAGCGGTGGCGAATGGAGCCAAATAAAGATTAACAACAGATCTCTGATCTTGAGTGAGAAAAACATTGGAGATGTCATGGGAGATCCCATTAAGCAACTTGCCCTTACAAGTCTGGCCCAGCCCCAATTACACTAGAGGAGGGTTTCCTGGAGAATCAACGTCAGCAGCCCACTTTCCTGTGGGAGACTACAACCCTGAAAACCAAGAAGCAGAAGCACAGCGCTGACTTATGTGCGTTGAGTCAATTATTACAGTCATTGGCAATGTGGGGGTAGGCACACACAGGGAAATCCTTATATGGTCAAGGACACTCTATTGTGGTGCTTGAATGACTCCTCTTATAACGGCCTACACACAGGAGTTTCCTGATCCTTCAATGGAATTACCACAATTATTCTTTGTATCTTGCTTAATATCAATCTTTTTTACATCTTTCATCATCTCTCCATCTTTTGCCAAACACATCTCTAGTACTGTGGCCCTTTGTGTAGACCCATTCATTGTGAATGCTGGTGATTGGTTCTCTTCCCAGTAAAGCTGCAGGTCTGTATGGACCATTCATGCTGTAAGATTGTTTGTTTCCTGCATGATTTGCTTTTTTCCCATCAGTGCACTATGAAATGCAATTTCTGTAATACTGTCTCCGGTTTTGAATGGCTCTTGCTTGACTGCCCATGCTGACCGCCTTATTTTGTACATTACATTTTTTTCTAATGACAAATATGGTACATTTTAGGGTTTCTATAGGTTGTATTTCTTAATAATGGAACCAAACTTTTATAACAATAAGAAATGTCTCTTGTGCACCAAATCAGCATATTGATTTATGAAGGATCATGTGACACTGAAGACTAGTAATGGCTGCTGAAAATTAAGCTTCTTCATCACAGGAAAAAATAAATGTCAAAATGTATTAAAACAAATATTTTAAATTGCATTCATATTTCACAATATTACAATTTTACTCTATTGGTGATTAAAAGCAGCTTAAAAAACTTTTCAAAACCATTAAAAAAAATCTTACATACCCCTAACATTAATTTGAGATATTTCGCAGGCTTTATTTATTTTATGTATTCAGCTTTATTTTTTCCTGATTTTATATATAATATAATAAATTAATAAATATATATATATATACACTCACCGGCCACTTTATTAGGTACCCCATGCTAGTAACGGGTTGGACCCCCTTTTGCCTTCAGAACTGCCTCAATTCTTCGTGGCATAGATTCAACAAGGTGCTGGAAGCATTCCTCAGGGAGTTTGGTCCATATTGACATGATGGCATCACACAGTTGCCGCAGATTTGTCGGCTGCACATCCATGATGCGAATCTCCCGTTCCACCACATCCCAAAGATGCTCTATTGGGTTGAGATCTGGTGACTGTGGAGTCCATTTTAGTACAGTGAACTCATTGTCATGTTCAAGAAACCAATTTGAAATGATTAGAGCTTTGTGACATGGTGGAAGTAGCCATCAGAGGATGGGTACATGGTGGCCATAAAGGGATGGACATGGTCAGAAACAATGCTCAGGTAGGCCGTGGCATTTAAACGATGCCCAATTGGCACTAAGGGGCCTAAAGTGTGCCAGGAAAACATCCCCCACACCATTACACCACCACCACCAGCCTGCACAGTGGTAACAAGGCATGATGGTTCCATGTTCTCATTCTGTTTACGCCAAATTCTGACTCTAACATCTGAATGTCTCAACAGAAATCGAGACTCATCAGACCAGGCAACATTTTTCCAGTCTTCAACTGTTCAATTTTGGTGAGCTCTTGCAAATTGTAGCCTCTTTTTCCTATTTGTAGTGGAGATGAGTGGTACCCGGTGGAGTCTTCTGCTGTTGTAGCCCATCCGCCTCAAGGTTGTGCGTGTTGTGGCTTCACAAATGCTTTGCTGCATACCTCGGTTGTAACGAGTGGTTATTTCAGTCACTGTTGCCCTTCTATCAGCTCGAACCAGTCTGGCCATTCTCCTCTGACCTCTGGCATCAACAAGGCATTTCCGCCCACAGAACTGCCGCTCACTGGATGTTTTTTCTTTTTCGGACCATTCTCTGTAAACCCTAGAGATGGTTGTGCGTGAAAATCCCAGTAGATTAGCAGTTTCTGAAATACTCAGACCAGCCCTTCTGGCACCAACAATCATGCCACGTTCAAAGTCACTCAAATCACCTTTCTTTCCCATACTGATGCTCGGTTTGAACTGCAGGAGATTGTCTTGACCATGTCTACATGCCTAAATGCACTGAGTTGCCGCCATGTGATTGGCTGCTTAGAAATTAAGTGTTAACGAGCAGTTGGACAGGTGTACCTAATAAAGTGGCTGGTGAGTGTATATATATTGGACACAGCATATACAATGAACCTTATATATGGCATATATATATATATATATATATATATATATATATATATATATATATATATATATATATATATAAATTCTTGGCATATAACAGGCTATAAACATGCATGCAACGCGTTGGTTTAGAATGCAAATCAATATAGACAAATCGATCAAGCTGATCACTGTATGGCCCTGATTTAATTGTCAGTTTGTGTATTGGCGACAGACTGCTGTCCTCCCCACTTGCATCTAAACTCATTCCAGTTGTTATAAAATTAGCTTTCTGTAATGCGTCTCTTAAAGGCCTTGGTGACAGATCAGTTTCCAGCTGTTCCCAGGTCCAGTGGGCCATAATTACGTTTTATTGATTTTTCTTCTGCTTGTACGTATCCATTTTATTGAATGCATAAAATCCATTTCAGTCGTAGCACCACTTCAGCTCCAAAACCTCGTCATGAACCAATTTTGTTTATTCTATTGATTTCTTTCTTGATAAATGAAGGGTGTAACGATTAGGTCAGGAGTCCCTGTGGATAAAAAAAGACATCAAGACATCTTCAGATGTGTCAAAGCTGCACTCATTGTGCTTTAAGAGGCAATTGTGTGCAAACAGTAGATCTTTTATGTTTCTCTCTATTACCTGAAGCTTGACAGGGCAATAATATGTGTGCTTTTTTATAGCTTGATGTTCATTGTAGCTACTACATCAACGAAGTGCAACGCAAAAGATCTTTGCATGTTTCTCTGATCCCTCCCTTCAAAGTCCCTTGCGTCCATTCAGCCGCTGCTGAGGGATGGAGAGATCATCTCTGAAGAGGAGGATGAAGGAGATTACTGCAGATTAGAGTTGGCACGTGTCCATCTGCTTTCCTCATTCATATACACATCACAGTTATTTACAGCAATACAGCTGAGGCAATGCTAATATATTCAAAATGCAATTTTGCAGAGACCCTTTCATCCAAATTCAATGTATAATAGACCTGGCAGGAACAGTCCCTGAGCCGGAAACTATACTGGAGCAAATGTTTCCCTCAAAGACACAGTGAAGATGGAGCATGGCCATGAACTATTTTATCCCTGTTGTTTGCTCTCGCTTCAATATCCCCTGAATTCAAATAGTAAACTCGCTCCAAACCTGAAGTTCCTTGAATTTCGTGCACGATCTGTAATTGTGATTTTCAAAACATTACAGTGAGAAAGGTCAACACACTCTCACTGGATTTTTATAACTATTTTACATTTTAGTGAATTAGTTAATTCCATATCATCTCATTTGTATACATTTTCATACAATCTTTTCATGCCCCACTGATGTATAAGTTTAGGGGGGGGGGGACCTTTTTTTCTAAAAATGGTAGGCTATGTTTCCATACGAACCAACATACGTTTACTCATTAGATCAGTTTGGAAAGGTATAATATATCCTTTAAATATTCTGAAGAGACAGTGTTTTAAAAAAGAACAGTGTTTAAAAAAATTGCAGATGTTTAAATAGTCAAGTCTAAATGATTGCTATAGAGGAAATCAGAGTCCACACAAGTGTTAAGGCCTGTTTCAAAGAAATGTTCTGAGGTTTTTTTCCAGTGGAAAAGGATGAGACACAAGGGTATATGCTGGTCTGCACGTCTCGTCGTAGTCACAGGGCTGGAATCTAGGGAAAAAACATCCTTCCAGAATTTTCAGGGGCTGGAAAATGTTGGTTGACATGCCTCTTTCAATATGGGAAAAGAAAGGGACCTTTAGTTAATGCATGTCATTAATACAATTATGAAAGGATAGTCAGTTACAATATTGCAAAAACTGTTCCATTGCAAAAAAAATAAAGTGTCAACGAAAGTGCTAGTTACTCAAGTCATCAGTCTTTTAGATGCCCCCCCCCCCCCCCCCCCCCCAAATATGATCATCCTCAAAATTTGAAAGGCATCTTTATAGTTTCTTGTACAAAGACCCAATTTATATTATATAGGCCTACATTCACAAATTGTATAGGCTATGTTTATAGGCTATCACATTGTATGAATTCATATGATGTCACCATCTCTTAAAATAGTTACTATATAAAGCCTATATATATCGGTATATCAGTTTTTCTCTAAACTTTTTCATGGAATCCCTAGCATTCCCTCTGCCACCCTTCTGGGTCCCTGAACCCGAGTTTGAAAACCTCTTGTTACTGAAATGGTGGCCACTTGCTATTAGCCATGCACCTCTGCCATCAAAAAGATTGAACAAAACGCCAAATAATGAGAAAGTGACTGAATCTGATTCTATATTAATGAAATGCAGTAGGCCTGGTGGTAAACTAAACTGCACAACTGATGTTCTCCTATTAATTTATGCAAAATGTTGTAAGAGTCGTTCTGGGTATTGGCACTTGATGTGGGCTATTTGGAAACCCTCACACTTGACCTCATGAAAGCTGAATATCCAATTATCTTTAATGTATTAAGCACGTCCAACAACAGCGAGCGCGGGGCAGCTTCTACATGAGCGTATAATGGCAATTAGAGGGTTCTCGATCGTTCCAAAAATATCCTCACTGGAGCACTACAGCGCGCTCCCGACTACTCCGAGGCATGTGACTGCGCGCCCACGCGAACCGTCGGGCAGATGCGGAGAAAGCGGGAGGGGAAAAGGCAAAGCATCACTTCAACTTAATTCAACTTTATCACCCGAACACTGGAACTCCTGCAGGGCTTACTGTATAGCACACTCGGGACTGGGCATAATTTGAGCGAACAAGGGATTTAGCGGTGTGTGTGTGTTGGAGTCCCGTTTGACTATGGATTCAGTCGCACCTGGAAAAAAAAGGTAAGCAAGCACCAATATCTGTGTTTAGATGAGGTTGTTTTGGCAATAATGTTGTTGATTTTAAATTCTGTTTTGTCCTTTGTTTGTGGTTGGTATCAGTAGTCTCTTTCAGTAATTGTCCACAGATAACCTGTTGTAACATTTATAATTCATAACGTTACCCCTTGAATGAAACTGTCACGAGAGTAGCCTATTTTTCACACATTTGCAGGATTTGCAAGCTTTTTGCTTTCTTACAAACTCAAACAAGTTATAGAAAAAACAGCATTGCTTTAGAAAAGTGGACTGAATCTCAATCACAACTGATTTGCGCTCGCGAGGTTCGTAGTGAATGAATCGTTTAATCATTTTTTTCAATGGATTTGTTGAACCGGTTCACAAAGATGGTCTGAACCAAGAATCGTTCACGAATCGGACTGAGCAGATGTCGATTCAAGAATTCTGTGAAGATTAACCGAAGCGACTTGTCCGATTCGAGTTAGCGATGAGTGAGCTAAAACAACCGGGAATAGAACGGATAGGATTATGGTCCAACTAGTAGCCTACTTTAATTTTATACTTTAGTCGAATAGCTTAATGTTCTAAATAAAATGTAAAGTACTTGAATTATGACTTGACTGTATGACTCTTAAACACACATAAGTCAATAGTTATTTTTAGGTTGTAAATGACTTTTTTTTTTTTTTTTTTACCTGAATCGTTGCTTCAACAAACTGGACTGGGAAACATAAATAAATAGCAATAGGCCTAGCCTACAATAAAAAATGTTTTACGAGAACATTTTAGGCCATGTTTTGCGGATGTCTAGGGACAAAATCTACATCCCTATTATAGCCTACCCTTAAATAGGGCACTATTTGAGTGGACAGCCATTTGTAGTGATGTCCGAAACCAGTGGGTGTTATCAAGTGCACTCATTCAATCCCACAATGCACTGCAATAACGAGTGCACAATTGATGTACGCTCAATCATAGATATATAGATTCCTCATTAGCGGCGGTTTCAATGGGCCGCTAGCGCTATATGTAATATTGGAACGGTCAAAGAACATTCAAGAGCAAGTTGACTGAGTGTTTGCAACCGTAGTTAGATGCGTATGAATATCTTTATATGAAATAGACTTCCACAGATGATTTTGGTAAACTAACACAATGCAGCAAGACGAAGGCGTCAGCTAACACGGCATTAAAAATGTACCATTGTAAAAGTAAAAACATTACAATTACCATAGTAAAAACATGTAATATTGAGTTAATAGGCCTACATATAAAAACAAACCAACACATTCTCATCTGTGAAAGGTTATCACAACCAGAGGCTGCGCAATGTTGCGGCATCATTGATTCTTACTGTAGTGATGACATGCTGACTGTTGCAAGATGGCGGTCTTGTCAACGTGTCTGGAGAGGTCAAATGTGGCATCTACCTATACGCGCTCAACGACTAGAGAATACCTATAATGTGCTTTGACGGTCACGCCAAATGAATTCCCGTGTCTCACCAGAAGATGGCACCCCGCAGCTGAATCATTTTCCAAACCGCTGGTCCAATGTGGCTACGGTATATTATCATACAGGTATAAATTACTTTTTAATTGATTATTAAATTGTTTAATTAAGTTTTAAACATGCTAATTTCCATTATAGAGTTTAAGATACATTACTACTGGAGCTGCTAGTTTGCTAAGCACAAAACTATGCAAAAATGGGTATAGCCCTTTCGGCGCACTCAGTAACTGAAATCACTCACTCGTTTTCATTCAAGTGGACTATATTAGTGGAGTAACGTAGGGAATAGTTGAGGGTATAGGGCGATTTCGAACACAGCCCTAGTCTTGCATAGCCAGACTGACGGCAGAAGGTCATAGACCTTGGACTCCAAGCAAGGACTCAAGGACTCCATAGCAGCTTTCATTGGCCAAGGACCGCCCAGATGCGTCATGCGTAGGGGCGTGAAAATGTAACGTTTAGTTGATCCTGATAAGCGCTCATTGCCACAGTTGTAACTGCTTGCTTCTTCCATAAGGGGGTTTGGCGTCACAACCAGCCGGACCGTTAAAGAATGTAACACATACGTCTCCTGGAAATACGTAGAATTCAACCAGATGACAACTTCGAAAATCCTGAAGTATTTCCAATTTTGTGTGCAATATGTATCAGACGTTTAGCCAACGGTTCGTGGGCATGGTTTCTGAGGGTGCAACTACTAGGTACCAAGCGGTGACGTAAAAGAATTGCTGACTGAATCCATTTTTAAAATGAACCGACTTCCCATCATTGACACCGAAAATATATAGAATTCTACTTTCAAGACTAGAGAACTGAGATCCTTTTCACTCGATTCACATTTTGGTCCTCTCAAAGAGATCTGAGTTTGGGTTTGTCTGTCATTTCTAATAGGTTTTATTGCACATGCACAGTGCTGAAGGATATCTGAATTCTGAACACGACACGTTGAACATAACATATAGTGGGTTTGATTGATCATCTCTTCCTTTAAAATCAGTGCTGAAAGATACGGCCTAGTGCCATTTAATTAAAGAGTGCATGGCTAAGTGCTTAAATCTATTCAAGAGCCAGCATTTGAAATTAAGAACATATTTCTTACACCCTATTTTCAATTGGGTGAGTTTTGGTTTTTAGGTAGTGGCATGCAACGCACTTTACACTACATTAGAATGTATATGTTAATATAATTGTTTATGATACTTAAATTACATTAAACATTGAATTACAAGTGTATACGTTAAGTAGCACAAGGCAGTATTTCCATTTGAAATGACTGTGTGTGTACAATGTAATGCAAACACATGAAAATGAGATCTTTTGGTGTTGCTCTGCTCTCCGAAAGCCCTCTGTCGTAGCGCTTGTGTTTTGCTCTGGATCAGCTGACACCTCTCCTCTTGGCTCTATTGTAAAGGTCCCCTGTGTGCTATCAGCTTGTGGCCTGTCGGTGCTGTCATTCGCAGGGGTGTAAAATGAAGCTGAGAAAGGTTAGGCTGCTTCTGCACTCATCAAACCAGCCATTCGTCCTCTTAGAAACAGAATTTGTAAATAGAAGAGACTTGATTTATCAGATAGCTGATGAAGGATGTTGACCTTTGCTTGAATAATGTTTTGTTCGACATCTCGTCATGGGTTCTATTATTGCCCCTCTTTTAATATAGATTTCATTAACAGGTCTGTGGTTAATGCAGGGCAATGTTAGTGTTTGTTTACTGGATGTGTTATAATGTCTAATAAGTAACATATCCGCAGGACGCCAAGAAGCTTTATACGACAGGATAATGGCATTAACCTAGATTCGATTGAAAAGCTGACATGATCCTATATCATGTCCTGTGTTTCTGCTTGTGCTGTTTTGAAGTTCAGAAAGAGAGTATCGAGCACAGCGTAAACATTAATTCTGGTTATACCCATTAACCTTGTTTATACTAATGGTCAAGGTTGCAAATGTAGTGGAGATGCATTAAGCAGAGATGTTTTCCTGTAAGAATGTGTGTACACTGTCCTTGCTGAAATATTTAGACCATAGTAAGTGTGCCTTATGTGTGTGGGTTATAAATAATGAATCATGAAGTCCCCTGCAGGAAGCAGTTTGTACTGGTCAAAGGGAGGGAAAACAGAGAGCAGGTTGACTGACGGAAAGCTTATTGGATCATTATTATTAAAACATGCTGAGGGCATAGAGCGTCTCACAGAGGGGGCTGTGATCATGCTAAAGGCTCCGTCTGTCTGCTCAGCACATCTGAGACGACTTCTAGAATATTGTATCAGCATAACTGCCTTTTTTTGGTATATTGGATATACACAATTTTAGTACAGTCTGGCTCAAAGCTGTTCATATGGTTAGACTTTACAATAAGTGTCAGTTCAATAACAGTTAATGCATAAGGCATCATGACCTAACAATATACAATACTTTTATAGCATTTATTGATTTTGGTTAATTTCTACATACTAATACATTGTTAAAATTTTAATTTCAGCCATTCAAGTTCAAATAATTCAGCTAATGCATTAAACGTACAGTATGTCATTTTTGGCCACCAGGGGTCGCTAATCTCTTACAATAACAAAGGCGTATATCGATGACGCAAAGCATCAAACGGAATTATGGATCTTGTCGTCAAGCTGATGGATCTTTTATGGATGAGTGAATACAGTGATTGCTAATGAGAGACGTATACCAGCTCCACACGCGAGTCCCGCGGATATAAAGAAATAAGGACATTTCATTCTACCGAACTACACGCAAGTGCTGATCTTTTAGATTTTGATCTTCGTTCTAGTATTCTCTTTTCATCTCAAAGTCTGCTTGCCATGGACCTAAATGTTTGAACAAAACAACAACAGCGTGAGCGTCCTGCTAAGCATAACCCAGTTGTCCACGTCTGTCGCCATGGTTACTATGCAGTACGAGCGGAAACAGAGGGTAACGCGGATATGACGCCATTGACTGGCGACTCCTCACCCCTGCTCACACGTCCCGTTTCCTTGGTTAAAATCGCAATTTTCTCACGATTTAGAAATAGTTGGAAACATTGGGGATATTGCAAGTAATCAACTAAACAAAATATGTAACATTGGCCTAGTGGTTTTTGGATATTTTACTGCAAAAATCCTACATATTGTACCTTTAACTATTAACTAACGTTAACTATTTGAACCTTATTGTATTATAACTTGAAAGATTGTGTAAGATCCCTTGTGGAACTTTTTCGTTCACTCGTCGATTATACTAAATGGTGCTCTTTGATGTTATAATGTTTTTCCACTGTGCGGTTGTGAGACTTTGTATCTGTGACTTTGTACAGAACAACTGTATTGTAACTTGTTACCTCCTACAGATCTATGCAATAAGTTCGACAGTATATTAATGAGACTGAAATTTTGATCTGTAGGCAGAACCTTTCAGGATTTAAGTCAAAGATCTCGACAGATTATGAAAAAGGTGTCCACAGTTGTTGTGGTTTTAGTGTTGGTAAGTGGTGAAAGGCTACTTAGTGTTTCAATGATGAACACTAAGTAGGGTTGCACTGATCTTAAATATACAGTAAGTTTACAATCTTTCGTGATAACCAATAAATGGTCAAAATAAAAATTTCTTAATTTTGTCTGAATAAAAAATAAAACCCTAAAAACTAAAATCAGCTGTTTTTATTGCATAACCACATTATAGTGTACATTATAAAATGGATATTCATTTTGAGTATCCGAGGCACGAACTGTAAAGGATCCGCCCTCTTCTGGAAAGCGGGGTGGGGAGCAGCAGCTCATTTGCATTTAAAGATATATGCATGAAAACAGCATGTTTTTCCTTCCACTCAAAAATGGGCATTTACAACATGGAATAATAAATGATCTGTCGGGTATTTTGAGCTGAAACTTCGCAGACACCTGAGACTTGTAAAACGGGGCATAATAGGTCCCCTTTAAGTTTATTAAATTAGTTATTAAATTAGTGTTTTAAAGTGAGTGTTAGATGGTAATCTAAATGTTAAAAAAAACGTTTTTTTCTGAATTGCTAAAACACATTTCTCGAAACCATCACTCACTTTCTCAAAACCTTAAACATAAAACCAAATCTTCAAACTACATTCAGAGAATCTCTGACTCTTCTGGCAAAATAAAACAGTTGCCTTAAACCATTTTATCTCTGCTCAAAATCAAATAATGTTTTCAGGTCATACACACAGAGTGTCAATATTATAAACAATACAGATCATTCATTAGACACTAGGCCTACATAAAAAAAAAATAGAGAACACAGAATCCAAAGCATGCAGTTACAGAATAAAGTGTAACAAAGTAAACAAATTTTGCAATTACCTAAAAAAGAATAGTAATCACAACTGAATAAAAGTGAATAAATTGTATACTGTATGCACTGCAAGTAGTCTTGTACTGAATATTGTAGGCCTATTGACTGTATGTATATTTAGCACTTGCATACTGTGAAAATGACTGTCCACATCACAGGCAATGTCATCTCTTGCTAGGCAAAGGGAAAAACCCTCTAGTGTGCACACCTTGCTCTTTCTCGTCCTCATCCTCTTGCTCCTTGTTCACCACCTCTTACACGTTCTTTTATATTGTTTCCATCCATTGTTGGGATCAACATTCTGATATAATCTGATTTAAAAAACCTCTCGACCAGGAACATTATATGGAGGGTCCTAAACCAGGACCTTCCATATAATGTTGCTATGAGGCATGGCTACCGTGTAGTCAAGGTCATTGTGGTGTGAAGGTTACTTAGATATGCTAATGATAGAAATGTACCTTCAATTGTGTACTTCTTTTGTGCTAAACATGTCCATCTCAAGTACATACACATAATAAGCCCTCACGAATCCCTATTTGCTTCATTGTATATTTTTAAATTACATATTGAATGGGAAATGGCCAGTGGGGCGACTGAAAGCTTGTGTGCGTGTGTTGGTACATCACTAATGTCCTTTTTTTTTCTTCACTGTTCTGTTGTATCTGAAACAGCATGTGCAGATAATGCTCAAACAGGTGGAGTGATTCAGAGAAACAGACAGGAAGAGGGGCGAGATGACTTGGTGGTTTCTATAGCATTCGCTTTTAAGGCGATTGGCTGGCCAGCATCCAGACGCTAACTGCACTGTATCAGTATAGAGACCTCAAAGTGAGGTCAAGAGTGTATGTTTGTGTGCATGTTACATCCTTTAATTTATTCATATCTTGTCTCATGAGGGGCCCAAGAGAAAGACAGAAAATAACACACATGCACAGGTTTTCATTATTTATGGGGACATTCTAGACATAATGATTTGATTATACATTATTAGACATAATGAATGATGTACTGTATAAACTGTATATTCCTTCCTCTACATCCCCTGCATTTCTTACACTTTCAAAACACTTATGATTTATACGCTGTTTTTCTCATGGGGACCAAAACATGTCCCGACAAGGATTTCGGATATTGCCATCTTTGTTTGGGAAATTTGGTTCCACATAGTGTAGGTAGGGTATACCTGAAGCGCACGCACACACACACACGCACGCACGCACGCACGCACACACACACACACACACACACACACGCGCAGACAGAGCAATATCTATCTTCACATTTGTGTCCTTAAATTAAGAGTTGTTTTGCAGAATATCTGCTACTGAAACTAGAAGAAAGTATCTGTAACAAGGAAAGTGTTTTTTTAAGGAAATCATTTGTAATATAAAATGTAAAATTCTTGATCGATAAATCCAGCGAGTTTTTTTATTCCATATTCACATCATTAATAGCCAGTCACTTGTGTCCATTATGAATGGAGGAAGGAATGGTTGAAGGAATGAGTCAGTGACTCACTCATTAACTAAAACTCGGTCACTTGTCGCCACCTACAGGCGTAACGATTTACCTGCAGAAAATCATTAGATCTAGATAATTATAAACATTTTAGTGACAGAAACATATTACTTGCCATGTAGAAAATTGACCACAGAAACGGTTTTAGAACCGTTCACCTCTCCGTCACAGCCAACTATAAATGATGGATATAAGCACAAGGCAAAATTGTGCCCACTGACACATCTTATTCCACTCCCCCTACAGTGTATCCTAGTTAATCCAACCCAGGACCCAGACAAAGAGATTATTATCCTACCTGCAAGCATGTGAAGTTGGCACCAAACTGAATGTAACATTCCCTCTTGACAAATGCCGAAAAACATATTAACTTTACCAACTTAAACATACATAAATGTGTAATGTTGACTGCTTTAACAATTAATACTAAGGTTTCTCATGAATTAAATTTTGAGAGAGAGACAAGAGGAAATATAAATCAATGAAAACTAATTAAACACTGTTGACATCTCTGAATAGTCTTGTCCACGGATGTTTTATTAGCTCTGGGTTTTCCATATTTGCCCCGAGGACAGCTCATGGCAAACATAATGATGTCAGTAACTGTACAGTAGGATCTTTGTGCGTGTGTGTGTGTGTGTGTGTGTGTGTGTGTTTTTGAGAGTGTGAGTGAAATAGGTTTTACCTGCCATGTCTCCATAGAGTCTGTTAATAAAACAACTGTCCTCAGTTCAGATGAACTGCCATGCCTGACCCCACACAATACACAAAATTACACAACACTACACAATTCAGCTACGTATATTTATTTTTTATTTGTTAGTGTGACATCATATCCTGTAGTCGACATTTGTTGCAGCACCCTTAGTAATTTTGCATGCCCGAATGCACTTTTGCTTAATGTTTGCAGCTGGTGTATATGCAATGAAACCTATGCGTGTATTTTAAATATATATGATGTATGTTTTTGACAGTTTGACAGCACACAGGGGAAGGCATTGACAGCACATGCCCCTCTGATATGATTTATACGTATGTTTGTGTTTGTGATAGGGTGAGCTCAGAGCGAAGGAAGGAGAAATCCCGAGATGCAGCACGTTGTCGGAGAGGAAAAGAATCGGAGGTGTTTTATGAACTGGCCAGAGAACTACCCTTCCCCCACAGCATCACCTCTAACCTGGATAAAGCATCAGTCATGAGACTCGCACTCAGTTACCTGCGCCTGCGTAAGCTACTGAACACAGGTGAGAGAGGACAAATGTTCGGTGAGATCATGCAGTGAATTCGTCTGCATGCGTTCATCTCTGTCTCTCTTTAGATATACTGGATGTGGAGACTGAATTGGGCTCTCAGTGGAACAGTTCATATCTGAAAGCTCTGGATGGGTTTCTCATGGTTCTTTCTGCTGATGGTGACATCGTCTACCTGTCAGAGAATGTCAGCAAGTGTCTAGGCCTACCTCAGGTGATTTTAAGGGATTTCAACATCTTGGCTTGTTTTCACTTGCACGTGTGACTCACATTAGAAGTTTTTTTTTTCTAGTTTCAAAATATGAACTGGCAATTAGATTTTGTTATGAATGTTAATGAATGTTAACGAGTGACATTACAAAATCTGAAATGTGGTAATTATTTGATTCAGTTTGATACTTGCTTAAAGGTGAAGTGTGTGCACTATTAGTGGGACAAAACAGAATTGCAAAATTTATATTTTTCATTTAAACAAACTAATTGCGGTTACATTTGATGCTGCTAGTGGTGCAAAAATTACGCACTTCTATTTTCAAAATAAGATAAAAAATTAAAACGATTTTTAATGCTTTTAAAAGAAGTCTCTTATGCTTACCAAGGCTTCATTAATTAAAAATGGATCATTTTTTTTCAGGATTCTTTGATGAATAGAGAGTTCAGAGAAAAGCATTTATTTAGAAATCTTTTAAACGTAGTTAATGTCTCTACTGTCACTATTAAACAATTTAATGTGTAGATGCTTAATAAAGAAATTAATGCATAATAGATTGGTTATTATTCTAGTATTTGTTATCAACTATAAAATGTCATAATCCACCTTTCATTGTAAGATCATACTGTCTGATGTTAAACTGAATCTCTAATGGGGCTATGAATGTGTAGCCAGGCCTTAGAAACGTGAATAATGAATAATGAATTGTGTGTACTAAACCATTTCTTACCCCTGTAGATTGACCTTACTGGACACAGTGTGTTTGACTTTACTCATCCATGTGATCACGAGGAGCTCAGAGAAATGCTGGCACACAGAAATGGTAATACTCTGTCTGTCTGTCTCTCTCTCTCTGTCTCTCTCTCTGTCTCTCTCTGTCTCTCTCTCTCTCTCTCTCTCTCTCTCTCTCTCTCTCTCTCTCTCTCTCTCTCTCTCTCTCTCTCTCTCTCTCTCTCTCTCTCTCTCAATCACAATAGTGATCACTTTCACGCATCTCTCTCCCTTTCCCCCCTTCAGGTCTGGGTAAGAAAGCAAAGGAGTTTCCCACAGATAGAAGTTTTCTATTGAGGATGAAATGTACACTGACCAACAGAGGGCGTACTGTCAATGTCAAATCTGCCTCCTGGAAGGTACTACCCCCTACTTGTGCTTCACTTTTGACCCTGTGACAGCAGGGTTACTCTGAAAGCATCTATACAATGAATCTGGATACATATTTATCCCTATCAGCCTCTCTCTCTGACAGGTGCTGCGGTGTTCGGGCCATATCCACACAGCAGATGGTGTCGTGAAGGAAAAAAATGCGTGTTCAACGTACCTGGTGCTCATCTGTGAGTCTATTCCCCACCCGGCAAACATTGAGGCTCCTCTGGATTCTAGAACATTCCTCAGCCGCCACACTTTAGATATGCGCTTCACCTACTGCGATGAGAGGTAAAGTCTCAGCTCCTCTGAGTGTTGTACAATAACACACCTGCCCTGCTCAGCACAAAACGAAATGCTTTTGTGCTGACAGAAGCAACATCTGACTCTAACATCTGAGCATCATTTATTATAGGGTAAACTTTTGGGCACTTAAGTCATACTTAAAATGACCGAAGTTCATTGCATAGATTTGGGGTTTTCTAACTTTTTTTTATTTCAAATAAATTCTTTTAAACTTTTTATTTATCAGGGAATCAGGTAAAAAATGGTTTCCACAAAATATTAAAAGGGAGGTTGATTATGATTTCACTTTTCTAACTTTAGTTAGTGTGTAATGTAGCTGTTTGAGCATAAACAACATCTGCAAAGTAACGCTCAAAGTTCAAAGCAAAGGAAGATATTTGCTTTTACAGAAATCGTTTTTAAGGACTGTAACAAACAGCTGGTAGGGACTACACGACATTCCTCCCGGGTTAGTGACATCACAAACCCTAAAATTGACATAAACCCCGCCCCCTGGGAACACGCAGTCCATGTTGAGAAGGCGAAGAGTTGTAGTCGAGCACATTTGTGAGTCTGCTCAAGCTGTCGCATCCGTCTTTTCACATGCAATACAGTACGCAACACAAATGCAATAGCATGTCACTCTGTAGGCATCTTACAACAGTTTCCACACAAGCGATTTTATAAATTATCATGACAGAATATGCTAATTGAAGATAGTTAACTCCACATCAGGAACATAAAATCATCAACTAACCATTCAGAAACGTACGGTTGCATTCTACATGTTGTCACTTCTTCTTCAGTCTCTCCATTGTCCGACTCCAGTTTAAACATGAAAGCCAGAACGGTTTCTGACATTTCAGTGCATGTCTGCGTGAGGTAATCTGAGTTTCTAACACACACACACACACACACACACACACACACACACACACACACACACACACACACACACACACACACACACACACACACTAACACACAAGCTCTCGAAGCTCCGCCCTCTGTGTCGGGAGCAGCAGCTCATTTGCATTTAAAGGGACACACACGAAACGACGCGTTTTTACTGACCCTCAAAAAGGGACAATTTTAACATGCTGTAAACAATGATCTGTTGTGTATTTTGAGCTAAAACTTCACATACACACTCTGGGGACAACAGTGACTTATTTTACATATTGTAAAAAGGGGCATTATACCACCCCTTTAAACAGCACAACTTTTTTAACATTGATAACAATAAGAAATGTTTCTTGAGAACCAAATAAGCATATTAGAATGATTTCTGAAGGATCGTAACACTGACAGAATTAGTGAGCACGAAAGACTTAAACAATTAAAAAAATTAAACAATTTTACTTACCCCGAATATCTTTTTCTATGCATTATTATAATAATGTCAGATGTATAAACTTTTGAAAGATTTTAGGAACGGACTGTATAACATAATAATTGTAAATCATGTCATTATTTTTTAACTAGAAAGAATAAAAAATATAGCTGCAAGCAGAAATGACGGGCTTAAGATGGGCCCGTCTAAAGCCCTGGTGGCTTTAGGGCAATATACATTTAAACCGGGTATATGAAAGGAATCATAAATCCTTTAGGAGGGGATATTAAAAAGTTTAGCACATGCGCTTTTCACAAAACCCTGAATAGCCAACTTTCAGTCAGTGTGAAAGCTGTTCGGCTCAATGAGAGCTATAAAGTGTACTGAGTTTTGTACATATACTTGTGCAAGTATGTTCAATATATGGAGCAAGTGTTCAAAATGCATTCAAAGGCATTCAAATAACTTCACACACTAGGGCACAAGCCCCTTTGGGCCATTGCTCTAATATCAACAAAAATAAAGTTATTATCAGAATCTTGTGAAGTATGTCATCTGGGTTTTTTTGCCCACTATTTCAGGACCACTGGGTATTAAGACATACTGAGACATTAGTAGGGAAGTATGCATTTTCTGATGCAGAGAGAGTCTGTTGACTGAAGGTCCAGATTTATGGCCTGGATTTCTTCGCCATCTAGTGGTGACTTGTGAAAGCTGAAATGTCACTGAGCGGCATGCAACCTGTGTGTGTTTGTGTGTGTTTGCAGGATCACAGAGCTGTTGGGTTTTGATCCAGTGGATCTGTTGCAGCATTCTGTGTATGAATACTATCACGCTCTGGATTCTGGCCACATGACCAAAACACACCACAAGCGTATGGTCACTTAAATGCTGTTCACTTATGCAGATCTAAATTAAGATATATCATAATGCTTTAAATGTCTCTCTCTCGGCAGTGTTTGTAAAGGGACAAGTGTGTACCGGACAGTACCGGCTGCTGGCTAAAGCAGGAGGATTTGTTTGGGCAGAGACTCAGGCCACTGTGATCTATAACAGTAAAAACTCCCAGCCACAGTGTGTGGTCTGCGTCAACTACATCCTCAGGTGGGACTTCACACACTTGTCTTAGTGTGCATTTAAATGTGTGTCTGTTTAAATGTGTATCTGGCTGCCTGAATACGTGCATTTAGTACGTGCAATATGTGCTTGTGTTTGTATGAGTGACATTATTTTTTATCTGTTCATCCTTTGCAGTGGCATTGAACAGCCCAAACAAATCCTGTCCCTTCAGCAAACCAACAGCACAACAATAAAGCGAGAACAGGAAGAACACCAGGAGGAGTTCCTTGGGGCTGATGTGACCATGGCTGAGTTGAAAGAGGAGGGAAAACAGAGGGATGAAAAGGAAGAGGAGTCTGTGGAAGAGGAGTTAAATGACAGCCTGAAGGGGGAGCCAGCGGCACTGACTGTAGACCCTGTCCTCACACTGGATTTCACTACCACAGGTCTGAACTCTACACTAGCTATGTTTCCATCCAAAGCTGTTATGTGAAAAATTTGAATATTGCATAAAACTTATATGAATAAAGCACCGTTTCCAGAGGCAGATTCCTGGTGTTTGGGAATGCAGTTGTGTGAGACAGTTCTAGGAGGAAATTTTACCAAATCATTTTGATGACAGTCCAGTTATCCAATGACATCCTCTGTTGAGGCAAAGTCACGAGTTTTTTTGTTTTATTGAGGAATTTATTTGATAAGTGTGTTTCCATTGGAGTTTATGCGCATATCTTCTTATCTTATATAAAAAAATTAGCATACTTTTTTATTTATTTTTATTTATGCGCTTCTTTACCTTTCCATCCAGCGTTTTTGAGGCGATATCCCAAAATTTGCATAAAAATAAGTGGATGGAAACAGATACTGGCTCATCTAAATCAAATGTTTTAGTTGTTCTGACATGAGACTGTCCATTCTAGAAGTTTCATGGTTATTCACACAATTTTACTCTGCAGTAAATTCTGTGTACCTTTCATTTGGTTGATGTTGTGATCTCTGGTCTACAGTTGTGATACTGTAGATCTAATAGCATCATATTGGCTATGTTTGAATGGAATACTAGCATATTGTGCAGTATATATTGTATAATCCGTAGCAAATAATCTGCTACTTTTTTACTTCAAGTATATGTCCTGCAGTATGCAATAATTTAATTCCAACAATCATATGCTGCATTGCTGTTACCTCACAAAACTTCATCATTAATAAAGCTGGCCGCATCCATGATGTTGGACATCTAGAGAAAAAACTATTTGTCATCCTTATATATGACATTGTTTGACTCTTGCCATATAATCCTATTAACCAGTCCATGAAAAAATAACTAAACATTTATATTTAATCATGAATTCTATTTATATTTTGACCATTTATTTACAGAGAGTATGTTTTTTTTAAAGTCCTTATGTTAATTTCTTGCAGACTCGGCGATCTCTGTGCTGACAGAAATTCCTCTCTACAACGATGTGATGTTGCCCTGTTCAAGTGTACTGCTACCCCTCTCACCCCTCTCTCATCCCTGTTCCTCCCTAAATGAGGATGATGCCTCCACAGCCCACCTACAACCTGATGACTTCCCCTTCCCACAATCTTCGGCTTCTTCCAGATCCCAGGTGGAGTCTAGTCACCGTTTTACAGTACCTCTCATACCTTTCACACTTTTAGTCCTTTATATGTCTTTTTCTAGTTTACTCTTCAAGAAAAATATATATTTGTGACATGTGACATGAATTCGTTGTTTGTTTATGTTCAGGTTGATCTCCACGTGGATTCAGAATTTAGTGACCAGCTAAAACCGGATCACGTGGAGAAACTATTTTCCATGGATATGGAGTCCAAGACACCCTTTATTACACAGGTACAGTAGATTTGTTGATTGTGTACTGCATCCACACAGATGTCAATACAAGTCCAAGACGACGGCCATATCAAGCAACACAACATAAAAAATGTAGTGCACCATTAGTGCAAGCCAGGATTAGGCCTTAGTTCAATCAGGGCATTTAAGTATCTTTTATAAACGTGCCTTAGAAAACAACATTACTGGTGTGCATCTTGAGACAAAACAATGGCACTGACATATTTTAAGATACGCCAGTGCAAGTTGCTTTCAGTTAAAACAGCTCAAACATGCATTTTGGCCTTGTCTGGGAAACCGGGGGTATGTGTTTTAATGTGCTGATGGTTATGATTATTATAGGGAGTTGGTTTGGATCTGGAGATGTTAGCTCCATACATTCCCATGGATGATGATTTCCAGCTGCGGACTGTTTCTCCAGCCGAGTCGATGTGTTCCAGCCCAGGTTCAGCGCTTGAACTGACCCCCTCCAGCAGCACGCAAACTGCCCCTGCTCTCCCAGCAGCCCCTACAGACTTGATGTCCTGTGACACCGTTCAGCAGGACACTAGAACCACAGAGCAGGACAGCAGCAGGTGAGACCGCATCCTCAGAGAGACATGCTTTGTTGATCAGATCTGTGCTGCAAATAAACTGCAGATAAACTATTTTTTGTTGCCGTTCTTTCTCTCTTCCTGTCTCCTTCTGTAACTCTCTAGAGAAATTATTCAAGACAGTGATATTTCTTCTAAATGTCAGACCAACCCAAAGCTGCTCAAGAGGAAACTTGAGACCATACCTCTGTCTGAAGCAATAAGACTGGTATGTTGAGAGCCTTAATGTGTATTATTGCATATCTCTCTGGAATACTTGATTCTGAGTGGTCAATCACATCCTGGAATTGTCAAAAATTATTATTAATAATGTTATAAAAAATACATTTTTATAATGTGCAGTCAGCTGGGGATTATAGCAAAATTTTAGCAATAAACCTCACACTTTCAGACGTATCTATAATTTATGGTTATTTTTATTTATATAAAAATAAAAAAGAGTTTAGAGTGACTGTTGATGTGTGTTTTCTCCCAGGGGTCTGTGTTGCAGTTGGTGACTGATTTTCCAGAGAAAAAGGCCAGAAAATCAGATGCTTCATCATCAGAAGGGATTCGACATGCCACCATACTGTTGCTGCCATCTGGTATGTCACCATGGAGACAACATGTCAGTGTGTGAAATCATTGCATTGAGACCAGCTGTTTTTCATGTATTATTGCTCTTTCTCTATCTGTCTTTTTTTTCTCAGATGTTGCGAGTAGATTGTTGAGCAGATCGTCAGAGGGCGGAGCCATAACTATGCCCCTCCCCCAGCTTACCCGTTACGACTGTGAGGTAAATGTGCCTGTGACTGGACGGCAGCACTTGTTACAGGGGGAGGAGCTACTGTGTGCCTTAGACCTAGTTATTTAAAAAGCCATACTTGTGTTTTCGGATGAAAAGGGAGATATCAGTGGCATTATGGATTGACTTCCATTACAAAGAAACAGTGGTGGTGAGCAATCAAAACAGATGGGATGCTTCTGCTTCTAATGAGTAGATGGTACATGCTGGACATCAAAAAGGAAAAGGCTAATTAATGATAATTAATGACAAGGGAAATGTAAAACTGAATTAATAGAGCAATTATGAGTTGTGCTCTTACAGGTTAGAAATACGCACAGAGAAGAGAATATATATTCTATTCTATATAAGATTGTATTGTGTTAAAAAACAACGTTTTTTCTCGCACAAATTACATACATTTACCTGCAGCTTTCAGAAAATGTTATTTTATCAGTACTGCTGTTTTTATAATTATGTCTAAGGTATATCTAAATGTCTTCTTTGTTCAGGTCTCTACATGTCCCATATATGTGTGTGTAAATGGTGTGAAATGTCTAAAGTGGCTGTTGTTTTAAATTTGTGAAACATATTATACAACAATTGAGAGTAGTCAGCATATTGATAGAGCGACCCACATTACTACCTACATTACACATTACTAACTTAATGTTGAAACTATTACTCACTATTCCTATTATTGCTAGAGATTTCTATTTAGTTTAATCTCTGGATATATCTAGGGCATTAACAAGTTAAAACGTTCTCTTGTGTTCCCTATACTATGAGTTTCCCGTGTTACATTAACAGTGGCATATACTGTACTGTAGGAAGCATACGATCTGTGTGAGAGCTTTGCTGCTGTGCTAAGCTGTGTTTCTTGTGTTCTTTCCTGTCGTGTCACATTGTCTTGAGGAAACTGTTATGTCTGTGACAAATAAATTAAAAAGAAATTTTCAACAACATTTAGCCTACAGACATCAATGTGTGTTTTTATTTTAAAGATACTACTGTTGTTGAGAAGTTTGGGGTCTGGAAGTTTTTGAAAGAAGTCTCTTTTGATGATTTTTTTTTAATTTTAGGTATTTTTCCATTCTCTACACCACTAAACCTAACCCTACTGTATATAAACAGTACATTTACAAATGAGTCAAGAGTGTGTACAAATGTGTGTTCGTCAAACACAACACAGAACAAGAACTGTTTTCAATTACTAATGGCCTTGCCAAAGGACTTACTTCATCGCTCAGGACGCTGCATGAGCTCTTTATGTGCCGTGCGAGACACACAAAACCTCAGAAGGTCCCCTCCACATTTCTGTGGGAAAACACTTACTCATGGCGAATGCCTTTATTCTTGGTAACTTTATACACACCATTTTGTATCTGTGTCTGTCATCCAGGTTGAGTGAATGGCCCTCATTGAATTAGTGGGAAAATCCCATGATTCTGGCTTTTGTTGCTATGGAGAGGGCTGTTCTCAGTCTCTATGGACTGTTGCACTTCAATTAAACACAGACCAGTTTTATGAAGGCAAGAAAAGGACTGTTTTTTTTAATTTAAGGTTTTGTTCTCATAAACATGTCCAGTGAGGCTGCTTGTTCACAATAATGACCAGGATTGTTTGTGTATGACGGGTAGATGTTCTGAACTGAACTGTGGAGTTCTGCACAACTGATCATTTAAAACATTTTCAAGAGTGCTGCTATAACAGTCCAGTGCTGCTGGAAAAGCTAGTTAGTTCATGTTTAATCGAAGTTGGAGCTAAACTCTGCAGGACAGTGGCCCTCCAGGAGCAGGATTAGACACCGCTGTCTATGCCATTTTGTAGTATAAATAGTGCAATTATTGTGTGCGGACTGAATATTAAACTAAAATTATGCGAATGCTGCGTCCGAATTTGCCTACTTATAGTAGTATAGTAGTAATGTGAGTTAAAGGAGAACTCCGGCGCAAAATGAACCTTTGGTCTAATTACACATTGTTACCTAGTCAACCGTTATTTGAGATTTGTTTTCATGATTATCGAATGTAAATAGTTTTATCTCTAAAAACAGTTTAGCCTATAAAGCTAGTATAACGCTAGTATATTGGGCATAGATCAATGACAAATAAAAATCGCTTGTTTATACCACTAACAAGGCTCAAAATAGCCCCACACTAACACGGTAGCATAATGAGGGTCCTTACATGCAAACCGAAGCATTGAGAACTTTGTCAGTGTCCAGACAGTTTAATAAGAAGATATTTTATAAATACAGTCAACTTCGCGTTTACAGGCAGAAGCCATCTTTGAAAAAGAGTCTCTACCAGTTGATCTACGAACGCCGATCCAAGTGCGCTGGTGAGATGTGAACGAGCTATAAGTTGTGATAAGGTGAGCGCGAACAGCAGGCTTGGATCGGCGTTCGTAGATCGACTGGTAGAGACTGTTTTTCAAAGATGGCTTCTGCCTGTATACGCGAAGTTGACTGTATGTATAAAATATCTTCTTATTAAACTGTCTGTACACTTACAAAGTTCTCAATGCTTCGGTTTGAAGGTAGGGACCCTCATTATGCTACCGTGTTAGTGTGGGGCTATTTTGAGCCTTGTTAGTGGTATTAACAAGCGATTTTTATTTGTCATTGATCTATGCCCAATATACTAGCGTTATACTAGCTTTATAGGCTAAACTGTTTTTAGAGATAAAACTATTTACATTCGATAATCATGAAAACAAATCTCAGATAACGGTTGACTAGGTAACAATGTGTAATTAGACCAAAGGTTAATTTTGCGCCGGAGTTCTCCTTTAAGTAGTATGTCCGAATTCATAGTATTCATAAAACAGTATAAGTGAAAAGTACCTGATGAACAAATACTTCCGGCCAGATTCAGAAGTGTGCATTTTGATGGACACTTTATTATCCCATGGGGCCATGGGAGAGGATTTGTGAATGGAAGTGAAGCTGCACAACTGATGCTGTAGGTCACATGCAATGAGAACGTTGATGTTTCAAACCAAATGTTGAACCTCTGTCCAAGGGGTGTCTAATCCTGCTCCTGGAGGGCCACTGATCCTGCAGAGCTACTCCAATTAAACACACCTGAACCAGCTCATCAAGCTCTTACTAGGCATACTAGAAACTTCCAGACAGGGGTGTTGAGGCCATAGGTGTCCAAACTCCAGGACCGAGTTTGGACACCCCTGGCCTGTACAGTATGCGCTTTCGGACGCAGAGGAAGTGTGGAATGTTGGACCCTTCATGCACTAAACTGTCACAGCTTTAATTACGTAGCGGAATACAATTAGACTCTGTTGCTGGATGATAAAATAAACTGTAAGTGCATAGTGTATAGTGTCATTTGTGGCGAACTTGGGCTGCGTCCAAAATCACATACTCTCTTGAGTAGGCTAGGTACTTATTTTGAACAAGTAATTACTCCACTAGCGCTAAAAGTATTTGTTCTATATAGTATGAATGAATGTGTGTAGTAGTAGAATGTAATCTGGACGTACTGCATTCGCCATGTTGTCATTATCATCTGACCTACCAGCTTTACTGCCATTCATAAATCCTCTCCAGTGGCCTTATGGGATAGTAAAGTGTAGTAGAAGAAGTAGGTCATCCAGGTACTTTTGCCTATTCATTTATGTGTACTGTAAATTCTAACATATTACCAAAGTGTATTGGGGGATTGTTTTGAAAAGAAAATATTATTAATCAACATTCCCGTTACATAGTGTTGTTTTAAATAGATTGGTGGCCCATGGACAGTTTTAGAGTTTCAAACTCTCATTCTGAAACTGATTCGGTCAGTGCTACAACACAATGTCTGTGAGAGGGGAAAAATAAAAGCAAATGCACACAATCTCACAAATGTGTTTCCTGCAGTTGATGACTGCACAAACATGGTATATTGATCAAATGCTATACAAAAGCATGTGTAATTGACTGAAGATGTCTATCTCTTCCACAGCTTTAACTGACCTCCAGCGGACTGCCAGCCTGTTTTCACTTACGTCTGTTAAACACACTCCCCAGTCCCCACACACACAAACACAAACTATTTGTCCTCAGAGGACCTGTTATAAAATCCTTTGACATGTGAAAGCTTTAATGATTTCTATGGACACATGCCAGCTGAAAAAAAAACCTCGTAAATATGCCCGACCTCACACAAACAGTGAAGCCATGATTTGTAATAAATCAGATCTCTATTTCTACATCATTTGTATCTAATCAATTCCTCCAACAAGGAAAATGTAATTGCTCAGAGGAAACATAATTAAATTATCTCAAAACTTTTTCTCAGTAAACTTGTTTGACTCAAATGTTTCTCTTATAAGACATAAAAATGTCACAAATGAGACAACTGTCGACATTTAAAAGTTATGACGTAATATATTGAAATCTTTGATTGTATGGTTTGGGACATTGTTAAGATATGGAATGTATTTGGGGGATTATTGTGGTCTTATTTCAGAGAAAATGTTTTATTGCAGTATTCCTCCATGTCAGCAGGGGGCGTCGTGTTACTATCAGAGCTACTCAAAGAAAAGAAAAAGCATGTTTTAACCATAGATTGTAAAAAAGTTTTACCTAAGACATTTTAAAAGTTACAACAAATCACCCTTCAATACAGGGGCTCATGTAACTACAATCTACTGCTGTAATTATGGGTGAGAGAGAAAAACTGGAAACAATTATATTGTATTCACAACCCTTATGAAACAGAATGATGTCATTCCTTCTGGAGCAAGTCTAAGTCTGGTGGTTAAGGAGAGGTAGTGTTTGTTTTTAGTTGCTTTGAAGGGCAATCTTATGTTAGCAGATGTGGCATTTAAATGTTCTTTTTTTCCCCACAGACTGGTGTGTGATTTATCATATGCACGTACACTCACCTAAAGGATTATTAGGAACACCTGTTCAATTTCTCATTAATGCAATTATCTAATCAACCAATCACATGGCAGTTGCTTCAATGCATTTAGGGGTGTGGTCCTGGTCAAGACAATCTCCTGAACTCCAAACTGAATGTCAGAATGGGAAAGAAAGGTGATTTAAGCAATTTTGAGCGTGGCATGGTTGTTGGTGCCAGACGGGCCGGTCTGAGTATTTCACAATCTGCTCAGTTACTGGGATTTTCACACACAACCATTTCTAGGGTTTACAAAGAATGGTGTGAAAAGGGAAAAACATCCAGTATGCGGCAGTCCTGTGGGCGAAAATGCCTTGTTGATGCTAGAGGTCAGAGGAGAATGGGCCGACTGATTCAAGCTGATAGAAGAGCAACTTTGACTGAAATAACCACTCGTTACAACCGAGGTATGCAGCAAAGCATTTGTGAAGCCACAACACGCACAACCTTGAGGCGGATGGGCTACAACAGCAGAAGACCCCACCGGGTACCACTCATCTCCACTACAAATAGGAAAAAGAGGCTACAATTTGCAAGAGCTCACCAAAATTGGACAGTTGAAGACTGGAAAAATGTTGCCTGGTCTGATGAGTCTCGATTTCTGTTGAGACATTCAGATGGTAGAGTCAGAATTTGGCGTAAACAGAATGAGAACATGGATCCATCATGCCTTGTTACCACTGTGCAGGCTGGTGGTGGTGGTGTGGGGGATGTTTTCTTGGCATACTTTAGGCCCCTTAGTGCCAATTGGGCATCGTTTAAATGCCATGGCTACCTGAGCATTGTTTCTGACCATGTTCATCCCTTTATGGCCACCATGTACCCATCCTCCGATGGCTACTTCCAGCAGGATAATGCACCATGTCACAAAGCTCGAATCATTTCAAATTGGTTTCTTGAACATGACAATGAGTTCACTGTACTAAAATGGCCCCCACAGTCACCAGATCTCAACCCAATAGCGCATCTTTGGGATGTGGTGGAACGGGAGCTTCGTGCCCTGGATGTACATCCCACAAATCTCCATCAACTGCAAGATGCTATCCTATCAATATGGGCCAACATTTCTAAAGAATGCTTTCAGCACCTTGTTGAATCAATGCCACCTAGAATTAAGGCAGTTCTGAAGGTGAAAGGGGGTCAAACACAGTATTATATGGTGTTCCTAATAATCTTTTAGGTGAGTGTAATAAGTAACTGAATATAATGTTTTGTGTCTTACTGGATGTTTCAATCTTTCTTTTAACAGCAATACTAGAGTTGAAAGAGCAGCTGACGGAAGTCAGGTAAATAATTCAAAACTCATCTGGTATTTTTTACTGAGAATTGAGATGTGTTTTAGTGCTGAAAGATGGGAACATTTATTCATCCACACAATTAATCATTCAAGAATACACTACTGAATTATTTTATACTGTTTATTTTAAACTCCTAAAACGATTATTCTGTATTTTTTGTTGTTGTACATTGCTGTATACAGTAAAACACTTGATACAATTGAAGGCAAACTACATGCAGGATAAAGAACTTCAAAGATTCAAGCTATTTATTTACACATTGTCTATTATTATGATATTAATGATTGTTAAGTACAAATTGAGTACAAAATAATAGAATCTACTACATTTTTCTGTCAGTAAACAGATGAAGTAGGAAAACATGCAAATGTAAATCTATTAAAAACTAGCTTGTCACAAATAAAAAAAGAAGCACAAAACAATAGGCATTGCATATACTGTACTGACTCGAGAGGTAATGCCATCATTGATATATTACTTGAGGGCTAATATTTTCAACTATCTTACAGTTTAGTCATAAATATACATAATGTGATTATGTGGATATAATGAATTACTTAAATCAAGTCTTTTAAACAAAATGTGTTGCAGTATTATGGAGTGCTGTCATAGCTTCTATTGCAGTATTGGAGGAAACATTGAGACCCCCTCATTATTATCATGTAGCAATACATACTCACTGGTAAAATATTCACCTGAAGTAATTTTGATTATTTCTTTGTCTGCATGTATGACAAATCTATAGCAGTGCGTTAGAGAATTGTTTGTGGTAAGGTATTGCTTTATGAGATAGTCTAGGCATGCTATCAAACCGGGACATGTGGGCTTCTCTTTCTGCAGCCAGACTTTTTTGTTCAGAAAACCCTCAGCAGTGAGGCTCTCAAGCTTTAAATGACACTTCGTTTCCACAGTTGTGCCTGGACTGCCAGATTCTGAGGTGTAGGTGATGGAGAACCTGTTGCATTTAATGTGTAGTCTTGACAGACCCTCATTAACAGCTTCTTGGGCCTGTGTAAAACAGGAGTTAAACTCATCTTGGCAAGAGTGGTTAAAAAAGTGACGGGCATTAATGCAATGCTTTGTGACTTTTTTCCAAAATAGGTTGTGGATATAGACATCAACACAGGCTTGGTTGTTTTCTGATGTTACAATAAAAATCGTCTCTTTACTCTGACCAATTTGTACACAAGAGTAGTTTCCTTTAACCAACAATTTTGAATTCTTTTTTAGAGGGTGGTCTCGAAGGAATCTCTCAGCAAAGTCCAAGTTGGAGAAAAGGGTGTTGTCTGACAAGTTCTTTTCCTTAAGATCATGCATCACAGACATTATGCTTTCCATGTCAGGTTTAAAACTGGGGTAACATCTTGAAAAAAAAAAACAATAATAATAATTGTTATATACACATTTATATGCATTTATGTTTAACTTCCTCTTGCAGACTATCATCAATTTTCAGAGTGTACTTACAATGGAGTGTCCATTGAGAAGGTGGAGAGATTTCTCTAGCAGACCAAACAATTCACTGGATGATCCACACTGTCATCATATACAGCATTTATGAGGAGCAATGCCCAGTCATTATCCCAAAATAAACAGTGATCAGAAATGGAGGGTCTTTTAGAACCCTTGAGTGATCATATTAATCAACCAAGTTCATAGTTGAATGTTTTACCTAAATCTCCCCTCTCATTTATCACCTTAGATTATGATGAAATTTAAAAAGTTTTGTTTCAGTGAGCGGTGTGCAAACAGTTTACAGAGGTAAATTTCAAAACTGCACAGGCACTTTTACAGTTTAGAAAGAAGTACTCATATCTTTATAAGTTCCTTTTTAATCCAGTTGTTTTTGTGTGGTTAGTATGAGTATTTGTAGTTTTACTGAGATATCATTTTCATCAGGTCTAGCTAATCAAATCCTTTATAAAAATTACTTTAAAAAAATACCTTTACTAAACGTTTTGTATTTTGTCTACTTAAAACATCCGGAAAAGCCAACTGCAACTGCACAGACTTACCCTTACTGTCCTAGATCTTTGTCGTTTGTCCAGTGGTAGGGGGAAAAACGTTCTATTAAATGTTAAAATGATTTCAGGAAATATTGTCCTCCAGCAGTTCGATGATGTTTAGCTCTCAGGCTCTTGCAGGACCACTGGAAATTGCACCGTAGGCTACTAGGTTATAAGTTTATAAGTTTCAGTTTCTCAAAGCGCTTTCTGGTTAAGTTTCGTTTTCGAGTCAACGGAAAGGGAACTACGGAGTCCCTAAAGGAACATGATTGTGGAAAAAATGAGATGGGAGGAAAAATAAGTAAATACTTTGCGTTCCCTCGCAAAAACTTTGCAAGCATCATTCACTAAACGAGAGAGGATCACACACTATCAGACTTTTAGATCGTTCCGAAACTCAGCAGAACTCAGCAAACTCTTTGGGGTGCCAGGCAATGAAAAGCTATCTAAAATAAGCTCAAAATATCAAACATGTTTGATGTCTTTGAACTTATTATAATCATAGTTTTGCCTAAGAAAACTCTGAATGTCTCTCTGCCGGGCTGAAGGTTGTGAGTCAAAATTCTGATATAGGTCCTTTGGAGGAGATGGACAGTTAGAGCCCAGATGTAGGACAAGATCGCAGCGGTCCTATGCACCAGGTAGCGCGCTGCTTCCAGTGTTAGAGACGTCATGCCGCTTGGACACAGGAAAGGCCTCTGGATAGACAAGTCTAGTGTTGGTCTTCAGGTGTGAGTCCAGCAGTCATTCATGATGGATTGTAGCTTTCACTGACGGAGACAGTCAAGATCAAGAGAGGGCACCGAGAAATATCTCCTTTTGGGAAGAAATAAACAAATGGGCATACGTTCATTAAGAATTTGACTGTAAAGAAGAATGATGCGACCGTTAGAAAGAATAAAAAAGTTTGGAGACCCTGTTTTTGTCCTAAATTTGAATCTATGATGCTATTTTATAAGTACACAACATACAGTAAGTATTTCAAACTAGTCAAACTAACCAGTAAAAGTAAACAATGATAAATAATAATTATCATTTTGCCTTAATTTTCACCACTTGTATCATAATTATTTTTTAGTATACTGATATTTGAACTTTCATCTGTAATTTTTAAGTCACATATCCCTTTTGTCATCTTCATGGTTGAGTTTTGGATGTAACCACCTCAAAAAGCTCTTATATAAGTATGTCTAATTTTACCTTTTGATTCAAATTAGAAAGAGAAAGTCTCACCTCAAGTTGCTGCGCTCTCTTGCTGTGTCTGTGTTTTGAGGTGATATGGACAGGTGTCAGGTAGGTGGATAAACACCACATTGTTGATGATAAATCTGTGTTTTCTGTGCACACATCACACAACATATAACACAAGCTTCCCATTCGCAACACACATAGAGTACAATACATGAAACATGTAAATGCAGATGACTGGAACATTATAAAATACTTTTTAGATCAATTTCATGTGCTTTAAACTGATGGAATAGGACCGAAGATTCTGATGACTCTGTTCTGTATTACTCAGAACTGTTTTAAATGCTGGATCTATTGTAATGTTTCTGCAACTCATCTATCTGTGGCCAATGGCCAAAGTTTAGGATAATATCAAACACCTCCTGATGTACTGGATTACTGTATATCAGTAAAACGACAGCTAGAAATCAGACAGCTAGAAATCAAAAATATCAGTTCAACGTGAGACGTGCTCTGTAAAATACTGTAACGATTTCAACTGTTTTTTAACTTCAACCACATGCCCTCTCTCTAAAACACTGCACTGGGGTCGACCAACTGAAATGATTGGTCTTGAGGCAGTAAGAGAGAAGGAAGGACAACTGATAGATGACACCTGCCTATATAAAATCAATATTATATAGAAAAGACTAAAATAAATTGTGAATAAACATTGAAGATCATGATGTTATTATGCTTGAAGTGACTTTGTTCAATATTTAAATGTGCACATACTGCATCACTGTTGTTGGTTTTATCACTTGGTATTGTGGTCAGTTGCTCCATTAATGTTAAATCTTGTCTAAAAATCATGGAATTATACATATCATGCGTAAAATCAAAAATCAATGGAATTATACGTATGTTCTGATTGGCTGATATTGTGTCGCGTCATGCCTTTCGATTTCAGAAATCACATCATTTGTAACTATTTTACATTTTGGCGAATTGGTATTTGTGAAACCTCATTTGTATGTTATTGTTCGACCTGCTTACGCCCCAGTGGCGGTTAGGTTTAGGGTTGGGGTTACGTTTTTTCTAAAAATCAAACATTTCTCACCAAGTCATGGTTTCTGATGAGATATTTTAAAGCAATAAGCAGAAGGAGCAGATAAGCGATGAAACAACTGGACAGTAGAAAAGAAAAGAAAATACGAAGACAACCAGTGATGAGGGGAAAAGGGGCAGGATCGTGAAAGCTGCTGTTGAATGCCTTTTGATCTAAAACCTCTGCCTGACAAGGGGCAGTTGCCATGGCAACGCTGAACTGCCAAAGATATGTGTTGATGGATGACAGTTGAGCCAGTAGCATTAGACAGACTCTATGCCTGGAAGAACAGAAGGAGAGAGAGAGAGAGAGAGAGAGAGAGAGAGTAGAGGCATCATGCTCCTCTGCTCCTCTATTAGTGTTGACAATGACATGATGCTTGTCATACTGTGCATCACAACACACCCACACACAGTTCCTCTCTCTCAAACTGGTGCCCCAGGGAAGGTGAGGTGAATGCTGAGGCCGGCTGCCATGGTTGAAATAAGACTCATGTGACATTTGAGTGCATTCAGCAAGTGTGAACCTTTTTTGTTTACGTATTGTTAGTTTAACAGTGTGTAAATTCTGCAAATAACATTCTTCCCGATGAAAAATGCCTCTCCCTGTCTGATAGCTCCCGAATCCTGTATCATTAGTCAGACCGGGAACACTTTCCTCAAATAAAGCAAAACCGCAGCCAGACCTGTCATTGCTGAGATATGAAAAAAGGAGATTGGTGGGGGGAGGGAAGTGAGCGAAAAAATGATTGAACTGCAACAATATGTTAGGAAGGAAGGGTTCAGGAGAGACTGAGAAAGACAAAACATTTGGTAATGAGAAAAAGAGCACGACTGACAAAAATCAACGTTGCTTCCTTAATTTTTATATTTATAAGGCTATTATGACCCTTTGTTAAATCCACTTTGGGTTTCACATTTGTAATTCTGAAAGAGAGCTAATTGGTCTCCAAAACAATTGATTCTGTGCTTGCAAGGCATTGGGAATTGAGAGCTTGGAGTCGATTCCATTAAGAGGATTGTTGAGATCTTCCTCCGAGTCCAGACTTTTGTGACGGGATGCTGCTTTGAGTGTCGGGTAGAAGTCTGGTGCAGAGCTCACCGGCTTGCACATCGATGGCTCATAAAAGTGCACATTGAGGGCTCATATCGGCCATAAACTTGTGACTGGACTTTTTATAACCGATACTGATTATCTGCATGTTTATGTGCCCGATAACCGATATACAGAACCGATATATATTAGTTTGGTTTTTGACAGAACAGCACTGAACTGACCAAAACAGTTTTAAAACTTTTTTTCTATATACTGTAATTTCTATAATTTCACTTCCTCACATTCATAACAAAACACATCAATATATAAATGGATCTGACAAAGACTTTTAACAAACTCAAAATAAAGTGCAAAGTGTCTCTTTTAAATAAAAGAATATATATAAAATATAGCATGTAAAAATAATTCTAGCAAATTTCTCTCGTTTTACACCCACAATCCTCACGTCTGTTCCCAGGTTTGTTTTCACACGGATGCTTTAAAATGTAATTGTCTCCCCTTTTCACTTCTAATCCCTATAAGCAATGTTTACTGGAATGTTTCTGAAGCAGGTAAATATAATCAGGGTTGCCAACTTTTGATTTCAGCTTGAAGGGAGGATTATTGGAGAGGGAGGGGTGGTTTCTATAATATAATATATATATATAATTGATATTCGAGTAAACAGAATGAATAGGCCTATGTAGCCTATAGTGCATATTTAGCTAAATGCTCACTAGAGTTAAATTTTAGCAAACTATGTCATTAAATGGCTTTCCTGAGGTGAATGTAAGTAAAACTGAAACGCTGATTGAGTGATTACATTTCAGGAAGTTGTTCATCATACACTCTCTGATGTTTATTTTGTGCTATAATTATAGTAAAAGGAAAGAGATGATCAGTTCACGTGTCAGTTGAATTGAGGCACATTAAAGAGCGCCAAAACGGCATTTAGTGTGTGAATAAAACTGACAGAAGAGAGCATACGAACAGTGTCAATTGAGTCTCACACTGAAATGCTGATATTTATTATCTGTCACAACATGTCTGTGGAAATAATTAGGGGTTATTCTGTTGTAGTAATTTGTTAATGCTTTTACACTTAATAAATGTCCTTTTAATTTTTGATGGTTGCAATTTAAAATGAATGTTTATTCACACACAACGTTTCGGTCACACGACTTTCATCAGGACTCCTGATGAAGGTCGTGTGACCGAACCGTTGTGTGTGAATAAACATTCATTTTAAATTGCAAGTAACGATAGTGTGCGGGAGTTCCTTATCTGTGAAAACGACTAACTTGTTTGGTCCTATTATCCGACGCACCTATCACCTGCAGGTGTGCGATGGAGTTTGTTCACTAATTTTTGATGGTTGAAAGGTGAGTAGAACAATGTCATCTCTAGTTTGCGTTCATAGAGCGAACCTTTCGCTGTTTACAGTTTAACGGAAGTTACTCCTGTAATCCGCGCAAAGCGTCATGGGGTGTAGGAAATTTTTGGATATTCCAGAAGATTCGAGGAAAACTAAAGCTGATTTATGTATCGACGACTAACTGATTTCTAGACAAACAGATTGGCCTATTAAAACCTAAACAGTTTGCATACTCGTCACGGCTGTACTTCTCCAAGCAATGCTGTAAGAACCTCATAAATATGCAAATAAGAACGTTTACAAATGTTCAGTGTAATGTTGAAGCCTGACGACTAAGGATTAAGATAACTTAAAATGACAGTTGCTACTGTAAGTTTAGCCGCTGAAAAGATCATGACAACTACACTAAACAACAAAATCCAGAGGTGGACTCAAATAATTCCATCATCCTATGTCTGCTACTTTAACAGAAGAAGTGTGCTCCATCTAAAAGCATCTCATCTCAGGGTGTGTTCATAATAATCACCGAGTGTATGTGTGCATGTTTGACCGTGGTGTGTGTGTGTGTTTGCCATGAACCTTTTTTCGCCTCAGGGGATCCCAGACTGCTCTTTCAGTAAACATTGTTTCCATAGTGATAATGGAGAAGAGAGGAAGGAAGTGAAGAGGTGACAGCAAGAGTAATAAGAGAGAGAATGAGGGAGAGAGAATGTGTGTGCGTGAATCCAAAGAAATAAGCTGTGTGCCAGATATAATCGCATCACAAGGAGATAAAGGAAACATTGTGGGCTCGGGATCATTTCTTTATTCTTAACACATTTCACAAAAACACACACACATTCAAACCCGAACAATGTTTAAGATTTCATTTCATTTCCTACCAGCATGGTTGCCAGTATAAATTCTGCTCTTGTCTGAGGGTCTCCCATTTTGTGTTTTTAGAAATAAAAAAATAAATGTAGAACGCATAAACAAAAACCAATATAAAAAAAGTGCATGAAAATAAAAACTTTTATAGTGAATGGAGATTCTCTCATTCGTACCAAGAATCACTGGACTCAGTGGACCTCAAGACAACAGATTAACATGGACACTGAGGTATCTGTACAGGAATCTCTGATAGTGTCACAGATTCCTGTATAGATACCTCTATGCGCTTTGTTTCCTGAATATGTAAATGTCTGAAATGTTAAGGGCGCTAAAGGGAATATGATTGTTCTAAAAATGTTGGCCACCTTCAGGGCCTCATGCATTCTGGCTAAAATCCACTGCATGTAAACGAGATGATAATCATGGAAAGCAACCCATATCATGCATTTCTCAAGTGCCTATGATATCAACAAAATTAAATTTAGAACATTTTATTATTATTATTATTGTCTTTTTTTCCACTTCACATGGTGCCTGTCTCTGTGGTTCAGTCACAAATATCCACAAACTCCACAAACACAGCAAACAGATTAAACAAGAGCATTTAAGGCACAGTATGGTCATTTTCACAAGAGACAGAGCAATATGTGAATGCTGTCCCTTTTGTGGTGTGTAATCCAGAAGTACAAAAATTCAAAATCATTGACCATTGATATTCTGGTTTGTTTAATTGATCTATGAGACTGCTGGAAACCAGTTTCTTCTTTCGTTTCCACAGCAAGTGTTCATTTGTTATTTTCCCCTGGCGTGAGCCCTAGCGAGGGCCCCATGGTGTCCAGCACCTATCGTGTCTGAAAGCCACCGCTGTGAAACCTCCCCTCCTCTAACCCTCTCTTTCCCTTTTTCTGTCTCTTTTTCCAGGCTCTTGTCATCCCTGTGGCTCTGCGGCCGGAGACCATCGCTCGTCCTGTTCTGCTCTCTGGTTTCTGCTTGACACAGAGCCACCATAGGACACACAGAGTCCTCTTCTTCATCACTGTCCTCCTCCTCATCGTCCTCCTCACGAGGCTGTGGAAATCTAACTGATGATGACGATGATGATGATGATGATGAAGGGCGAGAGTTGGAGTATACGTCGCGTTCGTACACAGACAGGGGGAGCTGGAGGTAACGTCCGGCTGCGTATAAACAGCAGCAGGCTGGGACGCACTCCTGTCCTTCCCTCCTCAGCAGGCGCAGGCGTTTACGATGCGACCCGGGCGGTGTCATGCAAGGCTGCAGGGCAGGAGGGGGGAGTGGTGTATTCGTGGCTGGGGTTTGGAGGGGAAAAGGCATGGTTGTCTGACCTGATGGGAAACACCAGTCGCTCTGGAGGAGGATTTCGTTTCTGAGACGCCGGAGAAGGTTGTTGATGAGCACAGACCGCCGCAAGAAGGACTCGGGGTCATCCATGAAACGCAGCTTCTCCAGAGAGAGACGGAGAATGTTAGCACGCTCCTCCAGGACTGGTGACACCTGCTGGCCCAGAAGACACTATAAGTGAGGTAAGGTCAGTTATCAAGTTAACCTTTATGATTCATTACGTGTTGTTGGGATCAAATCTAAGGGTTAAATGTTTTGTTCGCTGATCATTGTGCAGTGTCATAAAGTGATATACAGTAAATTGGGGAAACAAAAGCTATTATGAAACTAGCAGTGCAAAAATATGACCGTCCAATAAAATGTGACTAAAAACTAAAACTGAATTGAATAAAAAAGCCCTGAAAATCTGAAATCTGCGTAAAAGTGCACTATGAGCAGAAACTAATTTAAAATGACTGAGAAAATCACTTTTACATGGTGTTTGAACATAAATGTAAAAATCCCCATAAATCATAAGCAGTCTCAAAAAAAGCCGTTTGCAGTTTATGCAATGTGACGCCCATGACAACTGACAGACTCCGCCCTATTAGCATAGACCCCGCCCTGAGTGGCCTTTACACAGTCCGCCATGTTTATCTCCTCGCCAGAGCAGCATTCAAGTAAGAAATGTTTCTTTTTGAAGTGCCCCAATTATGCTATTTTAAAGTTTCCTAATGTTGTTTTGGAGTCTCCTACAACAGGTTTACATGCATCAAAGGTAAAAAAAACGGTTTAATTTTCTCATAATATACATTTGCACATCACCACATTTTCAATGATTCACAAATGAGTCGTCAGATGAATCAATCTCTCTAAATCCCTTTTTTCCGCGAGCTACTCTGCTCTGATTGGCCAGACAGCTCAGTCTGTTGTGATTGGTCTACCGCATACAGCGCAGATTGGCCCATTGCCATAACAACGTCAGCTCTGCGTGTCCTGAAGCTTCCTACACCTTAAACTAAACACAGTAACGAACAATGACGTAGATTTTACCATATCAATCCGAGCGCGATGATGAAACACTGAAAGAGCTAGTTATTCATCCCGAACCTCCATCGCAAGGACGACTCGACCAGGACATTTTTCAGTGATACGCTACTCAGTTTGAGGCACATTGTGAGATGTTTCAACTGTAATTCCTCACCATCAACATTAACAAGTGCATGTCCATCAACAAACCGATTATTTTACTTATTTATTTACCGAGTATTTTTCTAATTTATTGTGGTGAACACGTGGAAACTGTATCAATAACAGTGCACACATTAGGCGAGCTCTAGCGTGAATGACTGATGTAACAAACATTGGTAAAACAAATCTTGCTCCATGCTTAATCTTTTCTTAAACTAGTGAGAACGACAGACGATCTGCATTAATAGATAGAGTTTTAGGTAATAGTGGCCCACAACTGATTAGCAGAAGTATTTCAGTAAGACAGTAATAATGTGAGTTAACCAGTAGGAGACCAACACAATATAAAACTCAAAACTAAGTATTTGAACACCATCTTTCAAGAACAAGCTGTGTGCGAATCCTGCACTGAACTCCGAGATTTGAGAAGCAGTCGTCAGTAAAATAAAGGGAACACAGCAAAAGTTTAGGATTATACTGCTGTGGTATCGTGGTAAAGATGAATTTTAACCACTGATTCTTCACATGCTCGTCCTTGGGCAGTTTAAAAAACTGGCTTTACCTTCACATTGTAGAGCACAGCGTTTTCTCGACATGATGCTGTCCAGTATCCACAGGAATCAGCTGCAGTGCTTGAGGTTCAAGTTTTCCCTGGTGTCTGCACACGCAAAAAGTGGGCGGGCAATATGCTAATGTTTCGTTTTGATGTCACAACGAAACGGCTTATGACTCGTTTGAAAAAAAGATTCATTTCATTGACTCAGAGTCGACTACTTTTGAAAGACAATAACTTTATACGGTGCACTTTTAGATTTAAAACTTTGCCGGATGTTTTCATTCACTTAGAGCTATGTTACACACTACATGAAAGGTCATTTTCAAAAATCCATAATAGGGGCATTTTAAAGCTACTAAAGTTATTCAATCAAGAGAAATGAGTGATTTTCTGTTTTTTGTTGTTGTTTGATTCATAATAACAGCATATACAGCAGTAGGTACAGTATATGCTGCTTTTACTTTAATACACAGATATAATATATACATGCAATTTCTCTACTTGCTGTTTACATTCACAGACATAACCGACTGTTTATTTGAATTTTGTCTGTTTTAATTTATCACCTTGTGTGTATTTGACAGTTTAAGCGCAATACGACCTGGAAGAGAACTTAGTTTAATACTCACGGGACGTGCCGTCTGACATCCAGCTTTCTGTGCGCGTGCTTCGGATGTGTGCGCTCAGAAAACCATCTATCAGAAGTTTATACTGATATAGAAATAGATATAGAAATAGAGCAAACATATGTTTTAATTTTTGGCAGAGTATCCGAGGCACGAGCTGTAAAGGCTCTCTTCTGGAAAGCGGGGTGGGGAGCAGCAGCTCATTTGCATTTAAAGATATATGAAAACAGCATGTTTTTCCTTCCACTCAAAAATGCAACATGGTATAAAAATGATCTGTGGGGTATTTTGAGCTGAAACTTCACAGACACATTCTGGGGACACTGAGACTTATATTACATCTTGTAAAACGGGGCATAATAGGTCCCCTTTAAGACAGAACCTAAAGATACAAAACAAAACGGCTTTTATGACATATATTTTGCGTAAATATGATGGTATTTTTACGAGCTGAGAACTCGTGAAGAGCTTATAAAATCTGTAAAGGAGTCAAAACAGTGCCAGGAATTCCTCTGTTGCACACAGATGAAGTTTTGCTACAAGGAGACTGTGTTTCCGATGCTTGTAGCGTAATGCCTGAGCATTCTGTCTTTTTAGGGTCGCATCTTGTGACATCACGTCCTGTTTTTGGTTTGTTTAGATGTCTTTGGTCCGTGTTGCATTCATATTTCAGTTGACCCCACCCAAGAGTTTGTTTGGAAGCAGATCGAGACCCACCTTTTCAGGAGTCTCGGTTTGCTTGTTTTGTTCTCACCAAGATTTGGACGGCAGCGTTCACATTTATTCAATTGAACCGCACTGACAGAGCAATCGCACCAGAGTTTTTAATCAAACCAAACCTGGCAAGTGTGAACTTGGGAACTAGGGATATTCACCCTAAATGTTAAAGTAAAAATTTTAAATATATTTTTTTGTTCCTCAGTGAATTGTTGCAGGCAAAATCCAGTAGGAATCCACACAAAAGCTCATTTCAAGCCAGGGTGAAAGATTTTGCAATGGGTTCAAGTATGGTCATGCAAATTCTCTGCGTTAACCTAAAGAAAGCTGCTTGGTTTGAAAGTGACTTCTGTGTGAGTTGTGCTTCATACATAACTACACTATTGACTACAGATAATGGATCGCAATTTGACTAATGTGACCACACCTTTACAATATATTGGTCCAAAACTTGGTCCAAGTGTCCAAACTTCATATCATTTTATGAATTACCAAAGTGAAAAACATATGATGTGTTGTGTAGAAATATGCAGAATTCTGTAGACTCACAGTGTGACAGTAACTCCTGAAACTCAGTACAGGTTCTTCATCCTCCACAAACTTCCTCTTGAAATAAGAGATCCGTGACATGGCCACACGATTCATCACATGATCAGGAACTCGTCTATAATGGGGCTCTGGAGACAAAATGGGAAGGCTCATTCATTAATAGGCCACGTCTCCAAGATCAAAGACTGGAATGAAGAACATCATGAGCACCTTCTGATCATGGTAGTCTGATTTTCAGAAATAAGATAAGTTTCAAACCTTCTCTGAGCCCTTGGGTGTCACCCCCTGGTGGTGAGGGGGTGGAGACACAGCTTTTACTGCAGTGTTCAGATTCCCAGATCGGTTGGTAGATTGACGGCGGTGCTTCAGCTTCGGGTTCACAAAAGGGGTTCTTTGATAAGACCAAAGCCATGGTTTCACCTCAGTTCTAAACAACAAACACACAAATATAATTCTAAAAAAACATCATGTAATGAAAACATTATGTTAAAGGGAAAGGTCTCTCACAAATGAAAATTCTGTCATCATTTGCTCACATTCATATCATTCCAAACCTGTATTACTTTATTTCTTCTATGAAACACCAAAGAGGATATCAGTATTTTTTTTTTTCTGTTCAGTGAAAGTCAGTGGAGTCCAATGTTGTTTTGGACCCCATTGATATTCATTGTATAGACAAAAACCGTTGCAATATTGTTATTTCTTTTTAAACCAGAGGCCCACCTCTTAGTAAAGTTTAATGCTATAAAGTTTTATTTTGTGCAAAAAAAATCATAATTCGTTTTTTTTTTACATTTTTAAACTGTCCAATCCTTCAAAAACAGCCTCTTTGCAAAGCTTGTATTACATTTATGTCAGCTTTAAAAAACAATCTGTGCTGAAATGTGGCGCTCATACTGTTAATATTTAATTGAAATGATCAGAGAAAAAAACAGTCACTAGTTTCTTACATTGTTTTCATCATACATGTTTTGTATTTCTCAATGGGGAAAAGGTTTTTAGTTCTGAAATGTAGTTACAGTATGTTTTCATAGTACAATGAACTCTTTTATTTCAAAAGATCAGGAAAAATTTGAATCCTCATTATAACCCCTTTAAAGAAAGCAACCTCTCAACAACACTGTGCTACTTCACATTCTTTAGTTATTTCCTTTATCTTTGAAGATTGTATTAACAAGGCATTTGAAAAACACATTGAGAACCTTTTAAACAGCTAATAGAGCAAAACCACACAAACACACTCTCAAACTCTCCGATAACGACATAGAGAGAGAACAAGATTCAATATAAGCTGCTAAGACAGATACCTTATCTTATTGTGTGATCTCTCTTTACTCATTTTGTTCTCTGTTCAACCACACACACACAGTGACAGGCGAGAGAGAGGGGGAAAGTTCTGGATGACTGCCTCTACAAAGGTCATTAATCTTCACTGACAATTTCACACACACACACACACTATTACTCTAATGTAGTGGGTTCAGTTGGCACATATTGAACTGCTATTTCGCCATGCAGGCTGTTCTGTATCACTATATAATTCTCACATGGCAACAAACAATATTTATTTATAACTATTAGGGCTGTCAATCGATTAAAACATTTAATGCATATGGTGTCACTTAATTATTCAAATTAATCACATACTAGTGCAATGCCCGTGCAAAATCAGTTTTTGTGTGTTTATAGTAATTGTTGGTTTGGTATGTTTGAGTTGCTGAACAGCCTAGGCTACTATAACACAGGAGCCTAAACTCTGAGAAAACGATAACGTTAAGCGTTTCAAAAGAATCGCTACTTTTTTCAAAAAGAATCGCTACTTTTTCAAAAAGAATCGCTACTTTTTTCAAAAAGAATAATGTAACAAAATAATAATTTAACAAATGTATAATAATAATAATGTAACAAATGTATAATAACACTGTAATAAATTTATAATTAAATTGTAATAAACGTATAATAAAACTGCATTGTATAATTACATTGTAATAAATGTATAATTACATTGTAATGTATAATTACATTGTAATAAATGTATAAAAACACTGTAATAAATGTATAATTACATTGTAATAAACTTATAATTACATTGTAATAAATGTATAAAAACACTGTAATAAACGTATAATAACATTGTAATAAATGTATAATAAGACTAACAAATGTATTAGGTTTTTTTACACTACTTTTTCAAAAAGAATCGCTACTTTTTTCAAAAAGAATCGCTACTTTTTCCAAAAAGAATCGATATTTTTCCAAAAAGAATCGATACTTTTTCAAAAAGAATCGATACTTTTTACAAAAAGAATTGCTACTTTTTCAAAAAGAATCAATACTTTTTAAAGAATCGATACTTAATCACTACTTTTTCAAAAAGAATCGCTACTTTTTCAGAAAAGAATCGCTACTTTTTCAGAAAAGAATCGCTACTTTTTCAAAAAGAATCGCTACTTTTTTCAAAAAGAATAATGTAACAAAATAATAATGTAACAAATGTATAATAATAATAATAATGTAACAAATGTATAATAACACTGTAATAAATGTATAATTACATTGTAATAAACGTATAATAACACTGTAATGTATAATTACATTGTAATAAACGTATAATTACATTGTAATAAATCTATAATAACACTATAATAAATGTATAATTACATTGCAATAAACGTATAATTACATTGTATTAAATGTATAAGACTGTGACAAATGTATAATTACATTTTTTACACTACTTTTTTCAAAAAGAATCGCTACTTTTCCAAAAAGAATCGCTACTTTTCCAAAAAGAATCGCTACTTTTTCAAAAAGAATCGCTACTTTTTCCAAAAAGAATCGATACTTTTTCAAAAAGAATTAATACTTTTTACAAAAAGAATTGCTACTTTTTCAAAAAGAATCAATACTTTTTACAAAAAGAATTGCTACATTTTCAAAAAGAATCAATACTTTTTACAAAAAGAATCAATACTTTTTACAAAAAGAATCAATACTCTTTACAAAAAGAATAAATACTTTTTACAAAAAGAATCGATACTTAATCGCTACTTTTTCAAAAAGAATCGCTACTTTTCCAAAAAGAATCGCTACTTTTTTCAAAAAGAATCGCTACTTTTAAAATAATAATGTAACAGATCTATAATAATAATAATGTAACAAATGTATAATAACACTGTAATAAATGTATAATTACATTGTAATAAATGTATAATAACACTGTAATAAACATATAATTACATTGTAATAAACGTATAATTACATTGTAATAAACGTATAATTACATTGTAATAAATGTATAATAACACTGTAATAAATGTATAATTACATTGTAATAAACGTATAATTACATTGTAATAAATGTATAATAACACTGTAAACAATGTATAATTACATTGTAAAAAACTTATAATTACATGAAAAGAATCGCTATATTTCTCGAAAAGAATCGCTTCAAAAAGAATCGCTACTTTTTCAAAAAAGAATCGATTCTTTTTTACTTCAGAAGTAAATAGTGTAGCTGACTTAATGTTTAGCTGACAGAATGTTTATTCTTAAACCACAAACCACAGGTTCGAGAGATATTCGATTAACAGACAGACAGACAGACAGACACACAGACAGACGTAATTTATAGATAGATATCAGTATTTACTGAGAAAAGCCCCCAAAATGAGATAATGTATTACACTTTTGTGGCAAAAAAAATCATTGACATAAACACAAAAATTGACAGTGTTAGTCTGTCTGAGGTAGATTCATACAAAAAATCATACAAGATATATATATTTTTTATTGTCTTTGGCTTTTTGTTCTTTTTCAACCTTCTTTTTGAAAAAAATTGTCCTGTGTGAAAAGCTCCTTATTATGAAATGTATATAGCGTGTTAGTAGACATGATTAATTAGGTGTATGTTATTGCATTATAATTTTTTCTTTTAATAATTTTTAAATACAATTTTAATAATTAATTGCACTAAATGAACAAATTAAATTGAATGCTGTATAAATAAGTAAATAAAAAGTCGGTTAAAACTGAAATGGTAAAAATCCCACAAAAAGAGATTAAATTCAAAAAACTTGCACACAGACAAAAACAATGTTCCTCTTGCAAGTAAGCTTAATTCGGCTGTAATAACCCGTCCTCTTTTTAGTCTGTGTCCGCAGGGTTTGGATCACACTGAGCTCATGTGAGAGACGTGTTTAATCAGAGCAGATCCTGCTCTCCTCCTCTCCCTCGTACTGTCGTTACCTGTTTCTCATTCCACCCACAACTCTGCTTTGAATTTACGCTTTAGAAGACAGAGAGCTGACACAGAAGCAGAGCTCGCTCAAACACACACACACACACACACACACACACACACACACACACACACACACACACACACACACACACACACACACACAGACGGTCTGTCTGTCTTTGTCTCTTTGCTCGTTTTGTGCTTTTATGCACTCTCTCTCTCTCTCTCTCTCTCTCTCCATCTCTTCCACTTTCCTTTTCATGTGAAGAAAACATAAAAAGGTGCTGGATCTGTTGGATTTGCACCTCATCAGTCATACACGCACACATACACAAATATCACAGGGTACAGAAGGGAGTGTGTTCTAGAACTGTGAAGCTCAGTAGATGCTAAAACTACAAATTATAAAACACAGTTGATGCTAAAAACAGCAGAGAGAGCGAAAAAAAAGAAAGAAAGAATGAGTGGTCCAAAATAAGGAATCATGTAAGGGATAAGCTTTCAGTTCTGCCGTTGTGGTTTTTCCTATGCAAGAACCACAATTACAGGTTTCCATTGAGATAATGTAGTTTTTGGCTTTGCTCACTAAAACCACAACACCCAAAGCTCATGATACTTTTTAACTCTATACTGGGTTATAAAAAGCTGGTAAAGCACACTCACACATTTACTTAACTGTGTTAATAGGGACATATATGTTTGTGTATATATATATAAAATATATATATATATATATATTTACTGTATGTATGTATATATATATATATATATACAGTTAAAACAGTTATATTTTGAAATATTTTTTTTTAAAATAGCTGTGAATATATAGTAAAATGTCATTTATTCATGTGATCAAAGGTGAATTTTCAGCACCATTACTCCAGTCTTCAGTCACGTGATTCTTCAGAAAATATTCTAATATGCTGATTTGTTGCTCAAGAAACATTTATTATCATCAATGTTTTTGCTGCTTAATGTTTTTTTATATGTTTTTACAGGATTCTTTGAATACCCAACATAGTTGGGAAAAAACACCCCAGCATTTATTTGAAATATAATTTTTTTGTAACATTATAAATATCTTTATTGCCAATTTTGATCAATTTAATGCATCCTTGCTGAATAAAAGTATTCTTTTTTTTAATATTACTAACCCCAAATCTTTAAGTGGTGATATACATTTAATTATAATTCATATTTAAATAATTACATTT